TTCCACATAATAGATGTAGACACTCAGCCATCCATCAAGGAGGTGGAGCTAACTCCTCTATCCTACAGTGTGGGCTCCGCATAGTGCATTCCTGCTCAAGAAGACACATTATATGCACACGGGAAAGAGTAATTCATGGTGGGGAAGCCTGACAAACACTGCCCCAGCCAGGTGACCAAAGTGAACACAGAAAGTGATAAGTGGCCTCCCAAGCATGTTCCCTTGATATAAAGCGATGACAGAACACTTTACCTCTGTGATCTGTTTCCTCAAAACCCATAACCCCCATCTAATCATGAGGCAAACATCAAGTAAATCCTACTGGGGGACTTTCTATCAAATACCTGACCTGTCCTCCTCGACACTGCCAAGGTCACAGAAACAAGACAAGTCTGAGTGACTGTCACAGCCATGAAAAGCCTCAAGGGACATGATGAATACATGTCATGTGGTGCCCTGCACACAACACTGGAGCAGGAAAAAGTAGAACAGAGGGACCTGAGTAAAGTATGGACTTTAGGAAATAGTAACGTATCAAGGGGCGCCTGGAAGGCTCACTTGGTTAAGCACCTGACTCTTGATTTTGGCTCAGGTCATAACCTCATGGTTGGCGGGTTTGAGCCCTGCATTGGGCTATGCGCTGGCAGTGCAGAGCCTTCTTGGGAGTCTGTCTCCCTCTCTCTCTCTACCCCTCCCCCCTCTCAAAAAAATAAATAATCTTTTTAACATGTCAAATTTGTTCATTAATTGTGACAATTCTGTAGAAAAATAGAAGAGTAGAATTTAAAGGTCAAATAAGAGAAACCTGGTTGCATCAGACTGGAAACCTAGAAGGGATGAGTGGCTTCCTACTAAAAATACACACTAACAAGATGGACCCCAAAATAAGGAAAATACAAAAAGAGCAATTAGCCATCCAGGGGCCTCTTTCTCCTGTTAGTTTTCCTCTCACTCCTCTCTGGGGTCTTCCTCTCCCAGGACAGAGAAGGAACAGGGACGGAGCTGTTCTGGAGCTCTCCTGAGACCTGACTCTACCCACTCTCTTCATCTCGCCCAGCCATGGCCTGCCCAGTGAGGACGGTGTGCACAGGGAGTCTCAGGGGTCATTGTTTGTGATGTGTCAGCTAGCACATTTTTGGATGGCAAGGCACTGGACACACTTACTGAAGTAAAATAAATTAATATTTTGTAGTCATAGAAATAAATCAATACTTGCAAGTAGCAAATTAAGAGTGTGTTTGGATCTGGCAGGCCCAGGGACTCACTCTCACAATGTGACCTGGATGCTCTCCAACCCTCCATCCTGCTACATGCCTTATGGGCAGTCTGCCTCACTGCATCTGGGGCCTCCAGCAACTCCAAGCTGACACCCACTTACTGTCCATTTTGCTGGGAAGGGTTTCTCTTTGGTTCCACAAAAAGTCATGGCTTAAAGTGCCTTTGGCCTGGCTTGGGTCACATTCTCATCCTTGAATCCATCAGAATACCCAGAGGATGGGGCATGGGGTTGGCTAGACTTGGATCATATGCCCATCTTCAAGGTGGGTGAAATGTGGGGGCTGCCCTCTGGAACTGTTTGGATGGGAGCCAGGTGAGATGTGGTTCTGAAAGGAAAGAAAAGTGCTGGACTTGGGCATGACAAGTGCTGGGTTGGGAGAGTACCAGATTCCGCATGACTGATGGTTGACCGTGCAGCTGTGGAATCCAAAGTCCAAGGAAGGAAGGGGTTCACTTAGGGTCAGGGACTGCAGCTGCCCATCCAGTGCTCTTGCTGGAGTCCCACGAGATCAAGACATTCTTCCACTTCCTGAAAAAGTATTTAGCATTGTTGGTGCTAAACTCAAGGTTCCTGCCTTGGGCATCAGGTACTCAAATCTCAGAGACTGGAAGGCACACAGACCTCACTCATGTCCCTGGGAGGGGGAAGCCCAAGAGTCAAACCTGCCCCCTGACCACATTAATCACCCACCCCCAAAGAACAAACTGACCCATTTTCCAGTCTCATCTCCCTCCTTTATAAAGCACAGAGATCAGGGGGCGCCTGGGTGGCTCAGGTGGTTGAGTGTCCAACTCTTGATTTTGGCTCAGGGCCTTATCCCAGGGTCATGGGATCAAGTCCCACATCGGGTTCTTTGCTGAATGTGGAGCCTGCTTAAGCGTCTCTCTCTCTCTCTCTCTCTCTCTCCGCCCCTCTGCCATGCATGCTCTCTCCCTCTCCAAAACAAAATATTTTTAATTTTAATAATAAAAACAAAAGAAAACAAAGAACAGAGATCAAATGTGAAGATGGTAAGGAAATTTTTTCTCAGTGAGGCAGTGGGAAGTTCAAGGATTATTCCATACCATGAATCCACACTTTGGCAGGGTATCTGGAGGCCATGGTCCTGGGTCATGCACGTGGCTCTCTGAGACCACACAGCCTCAGTGAGAAACTGACCACAGGGAGACACAGTTGCTCTCACACCCTTGATTCTTAACAACTATGCATGTCAAATGGGGAGGCCAAAGAACCGCAGGGCCAGTCTACTGTAAGGCTGCTGTGGCCAGGGCCACACTCATCATTTGGAGGGCCATTACTTCTCCTGGCAAGTTAAAAGGCTGTGAGAGAGGAGGCACTTGTCTCAACCACACAGATACTGGGAACAGAAACATCCCGTGGGGCTGTCTGCACTGCCCATGGACCTATTGCATTGCACAACAGCACAGTCAGCTCAGTAATTGGCCATGAGGGTAGTCAAGACCCTGCCTGGCCTGAGCTGGAGGACCATAGATGCCAGCCTGGATGGTTGGAGGCCAAGGTCTGTCCTGCCTGCTGACTGTTGACTGCCGATCACTCAGATAGGATGAAGGATCCAGCCGGCACGGGGAGGGCCTCACAGGCCCTCAAGAAAGCTGTACGTGGGGGCTGGTAGGCCCCCACATACAGTTCTGTACCAACCCACACGTGTCTACTGAGTGCCCTGTGGGTGGCAGTTGTGCTAGAACCTGGGGCAGCCCAGGCAGGGTGGGGCCAGCAGCCCCCTTCCCAGGTGGGAGGGTAGAACCCTGTATACCCTCTGAGGCCCTCCATAACCCTTGACTGGGGTGGAGTGGGATGTGAAAGTCAGTGACCAGGTGGTCATTTTGCTTTTTTTCTGTTACAGCCTAGGACTGAGGGGCAGAAACAAATGCTCCAGCTCAACCTCTGCTGCATGTGTGACCCTGGGTGAATCCCGTCTTTCCCGCAGGCCCAGAGAGATGGAGGAGGGGGAACAAAGCCCATTATGCTTAGGCCTAACCCAAATTCTGGCCCTGATCCACACCCTGACCCTGATCTCAAGCGTGGCGACCCCAACCCCATGACCCTCACCCTAACCCCACCCAGATTCTCAGGCTGATCCACACTTGCATCATGAACAGGCCCAAAAAGTTTCAGGGGATTCTCATTTTCTCCTGAGATCTCCTCAACTGTGCAATCCTGCCCACATGCCCATGGAGGTGGCCTTGCCTCTCATGGACTCACCAACTACTGATTCCCACAGCCCTTGCATACATCACCCAGCAGAATGGTGGGGTTTATTTTTGATTTTTTGCTAAGTTTTATTTTAATCCAAGGACTTTGATTCATACAAAATGTCATTGTAGAAACAATAGCAGAATCCAAAGTCTGGGTGATCAATATTACTCAGGCAGCAAACTCATCAATCACAGGATTGTTTTAAAGCAGGTCCCAGTTGTGTTGCATGGTTGGGACTTCTTTTTGGGTATTTTTTAACACTGTTCTTAAATATAAAGTTTTGCAACAAACCTTTGATTTATATCAAATATAATTAAAAATTAACAAATGAATACATTGTATCAAAAAGTACGAAGATATACATTTTCATGCACATACTTGTATATATGTATATATGTATATATTTTACATGCACACATAACTTATTCAAACTACAGCCACTGCTTGACTGGTCCAGATGCAGACAACTGGTTAATGCATTTCAAATTTGGCAACTCACTATGAGATCTCAGTGGAAACATAGGATAGCTGAAAAGAGACGATACAGAAACAAAACCCAAAGTCAGAAAACAAGACACAGTATCTCCTCCCCGACTCCCTGTAGTTTTCACCAATTCCAGCGTCTAGAAGAATCCAGACAAAGTGGTGAGGCTGTGTGGGGCTAGAACAGTGATTCTCCACCCAACACGGCCAGGGAAGTAGCTGTGGTTCTGCACAGAATGGATACATTCAAAATAACATGGGCCAGAGATGAAACTTCAGTACAAAATACACGTCCTTCTGCTTTGCAACAGGAGCACAGCGGTCTCATGCACAGTCTGAGATTCCATTCCAGTTTATTATTTCCTATTGCAGTAAAATACTCTGTAATCTTAAAGTTTCAGAGTGTTGTGCCTTCCAGTAAGGAAATTCTATAAAATGGTTTGGTCACAATCATGCTGAAACCCTAGAACAGGTGGCGGTCTTATGTGATTTAGTTCTATTAAATGTGTGTCTTTTGTTGCATAGCCCTATGGGTTAACGACATCCACTCACTGGGACACACCTCCACACAGACACGCACACACACATCACAGGCCAAGTTTCTTTAAGGTGAGTCATGGGGTGAAAGCCAATGGAACACTCAAATGATCCAGCAAAGAGACCATCTGACATTTCCAAACAGGGAGGATGCACCATAATCTAATCATCTAAATGTTCCCTTTCTTCACAAAACAAAAGTTCTCTGTGTTTCATGCACAGCATCCTAACTACGGTCTTTCCCTTTTGAGAGCAGCCATGAGATCGGATTTCTCTTTTGTTTGCTGTGTTCCCATGCCTTGTGCCACACACAGTGCTGGGCTTCGGGAACTCCCACCCGAGCCCCGGTACCCAAGGTTCTCCTTCACCAGTCGCTTCCTCCGAGCTTGGGCCTCATTTCAGTCAGGGCATCCCAAGTGCCCGCATCTGCTCAGACACGGGCCCTCCTCGCTCCTGCCCCGACGGCTCCATTCCACTTCCCCCAATTCTCCCTCTTCCCACCACCTCTCCCTCTCTCTGGCCTTATCTGAAAAGAAACTTTCACGACAACAGACATCATGCCCCCTTTGGAAGGCATCCCATCCCTGAGATTCAGATGTAGAACAAACTGAAACCCCACACACAAGGACACGCTCTACCCTGCTCTGTGGTTTCCCAGGAAACTCTTCCACTGGTGGGAGGAAAATGGGGAAATGGTCATTTCATTTCCACCTACAACCTCCTCCTGGATGTTATATGAGTGTTCTCCATTGACAGCAGCTTTCTACTTGGTTGATATTTGGAACGGTTTCCACAAAGTCCACCCACGCTTCACACAGGCCTCACGTCACCGCCCCCAGGAGCCTGGCACGAGAGGGCTCGGAAGTCAGGCACTTGGTCGAGAGCAGCAGGAGCCAGGGGTCGCTGGGGGACCACCCAGGCTGGACACAAGAGCATTGCCTCGCACAAGCCACACACACACACACACACACACACACACACACACACACACACACCGAAGAGCTGAGAGCTTCCTACAAGTTGAAATTTTTAAAGTTATATTACTATTTCCTTCCTCATTTTTCTGTTTTTTTTCTAGGTCAAGTATATGGAATTGACAAAAGAGGGAAGGGTGTCGTGATTAAAAACCAAAACCAACAGCAAGAATGGTTTCCAGATTTGGTCCCTGTCAGGGTTGACAGCATCTGGGAGAGGACAGAGAGTGTGTGAGTGTATTTCTAGTGTCCATTTGCTGTTCCAGGTACAAAGAGCAATGCCGCACAAAACGTGTGTGTGTGTCTGTGGGCGCGGACAAGACTTGAATGGAGCCAAAGGCCGGCTCCCAAGGCTGCTGTTTACCGTCAACTGTCTTGTCTTGCCAGGCTTTTCGACATGCTGGGCTCCTCTGTACCACACACTTGAATAAAGGATGGCCTCCACAAGATTCAGACCTCCTAAAAATGGCTCTAGGCACACACCCCAGATGCTGGGATCCATCACACAGGATTCAGACTGTCAGGGTCCTACTCAGCACATGCAGCCACTTCCCATGTAGGGTCTGTGGTATGAGACCCAGGCAGGCAGCATACAAGGGGAGAGAGAGAACCATGTCCCTCTCCAAAAGGGCTTTAGGAATTGGTCCAGCGTGAAAGGGGACAGGGGGAGCAGCGGGGCCTCCCCTCAGCTGGCCCCAAAGGCGAGGCCCCTCCTCCCAGGGGCTGCTGCCCCTGTATCGGTGCCCCTGAGCGTCCCTGGGAGCCCAGCATGGATGATAAAACTCATCGACTGGAACGCGCCCGCTGAGCAGGTGCGTGGTGGAGGCGGTGCAGCCAGCTAGCACCAGTGGTCTTGGTCGGGGTGGTGGTAGCTGTGCCGAACCCGGCCGCCCGAGCTGAGTCCCAGAGTGCAGTGGTAGCCATTGGGCACACGGCGGAGGGGGTGGGACTGGGAGGTCAGAGAGGACACGTAGGAAGTCCGGGAGGAGCGGCCCGAGTTGGTGGCCACAGCCTCCTCGAAGGTAAGCGTGTCCTCAGGCTGGGCGCGGGCAGTGTCCTCACTATCCAGACGCTGCCCCAGGTAAGGGTCAGAGCCGATCCGAGAGCCGGCAGCCAGGGGCTGACTGAGGGGGTCTCTCTGGAGCAGAGCATTGTGTTCAGAAAGGCCACGGCTAAGCCGGCCAGGGGAGAAGGTGGGGAGGCTGGTCTGAGCCCCAGCAAAGTGGACAGGGGAAGAGTTGGCCGTCTTATAGGTGACGCTGGGACGGGGGGTCAGCGGAGTCTGGGGGAGCTGCCTCCGCCCACCGCGGCCAGGGGTGCTAGCACCGGATGTTGACAACAAGGGACTCCCATTCACTGAACCACCACCCTACAAGAAAACAGAGTAGAGCAAATAAAAATCAAATGGACAGAGGCCAGTGCAAGTGAGAACCACGGAGGTGAGGGTGAGGGGCATGGAGAGGGGCAGGCACCCTGGCAGGGGGAGGGGACAGGTAGCGGTGCGGTGGCGGGGAAGGCAGATGGTGCCGGTTAGTCCTGGGGTGGTGGTCAGGGAACAGTGGGTGACAAAGAGACAGGCACAGTCCAGGGAGAGGAGAGACCAAAGGCCAGACCAGGGAAGTTGTGGGAGGGGTGGCGAGAGGACTGGGCTGGTGGGGAAGGAATGGAGTGAGGAAGGGGGCAGGGCAGATTTGTGACGGGTGATTCAGAGCAGAGGCCCGGGAGGGTTGTGAGGAGGTCTTACCTGTCTGGGGGGTCCTGCCTCCTGCCCGGCTGTCGGTGATGTGGGGTGGCTACTGAGAGAGGGTTTGGGCTGCGGGGGCTCACGGCCCCCAAAGCGGTCACAGGAGTAGAAGCGCTGCTTCTCCGAGGAGGAGGAAGAAGGCTGCCTCCGCTCTTGAGACCGGCCACGCTCCTGCCTACGCTCCCGTCGGCAGCCTGCGGGCCCCTCTCCCGGGGGCGGCCCCGGCCCCGCAGCGCTGCTGGGTGCTGGCCAGGAAGAGGAGAAATCAGCACAGCGAGCCAGGTGGGGAGACAGACCCCCCACCCCAGACTTGGTCCTCAGGGCCAGCAGGGAGACCCAGGGGAAGAGCTGAGGTGGGTGGGCGGTCCTGCCTGGTCCCCAGACTTGGGACTCACCACCCCCTATTCCGGGTTGCTTGTGCGTGAGGCAAAGAAAGGAACAAGGTCTCAGACCCCTGCCCTCAGGCCCTGGCCACTTGGGGGACCCCTCTCACGCACCGCCATCTGTTTCTGCGGACAGGCTGGGCCCCTTCTCCAGGGACTTCTGCTTCCTGTCCCTGCGGCGGTGGCAGCGGTGGTGGTGGTGGGGCACAGCCTGGCTGGCCGGGGCTCGGTCCAGGGCAGCGTTGCAGAGATGAGCCACGTGGGGGCGCTGGGGTGCCAGCGTGGAGATGGAGCGCTTCATGGGGCTGGCGTCAGGGGCCGGCTGCTGGCGGGCAGGATGTGGGTTGTGACACAGCCAGTGAGAGGGGCCTGGGGCAGACTCCAGGGTGACTGGCAGCAGCCATGACATTCCCTCTCGCTGGAAAGTTACTCCCCACCGAAGCCCACCCTTTCTCCCAGAGCAGGGAGGCTGAGCAGGGCCCAGGCAGCCTGTTGGCCTGAGCATCCCTGGGGGGACAGGGAAGAAGCCAGGAAAAGGGAGGCTGTGGACCTGACTGGAAGAACCCTGAGGGGCGATGGAGTGTGAGGGCTCAGCTGGCCCGGGGCCATGAGGCTGCTGCCCTGGGCTGAAATCAGGACCTGCGGGAATGTGCCCTCCAAGTAAGAGCTGATCCACGGCCCCTGCTGGGTGTTCTCAAGCTGGATGCCCAGCTGGCCAGGATCAGGAAGGGGAAGAGGGCACAAGCCACCACCAGTGGGAGGCAGAGAGAAGTTTCGAGAATGAAAATCAATTTAAATGTTGCAGAATCCGGAATCACAAAAGAAGGCAGGGATAGAGTCAGCCCCAGGGAAACACCGAAGGTCCCAGGCTGCAGGTCATGCCCCTTTACAGGCCTTCCCCCTCCAAGCAAGTGAAACCAGGCCCCCCCGACACAGCTTCAGGTCTGCAGACCCCTCCCTGAGACCTTGGGAAAGGGTCCACAGCCCCCCTGCCCTGGAGCTTCCTGCTCCGTAGCCACAGCATCCCAGAAGGCGCCAAGGAGGGAGGTGATGCCGTCCCCCTCTAGAGAAGGGGCAGGGCAGGTCGTCCTCAGAGCCTGAAGTGGGAATAGGGAGGGCCAAAGTATGAGGCACTGTGTGCGTTTAAAGGGGAAGGGGTGGGGTGGGGTGGGAGAGGTATGTTCGAGACAGAGAGAAAGGCGGGGTCAGGGACACGGGGACAGAGGAGGGCGGAGGCCCCAGTCCCACGACAGGAGGCTGAGCACAGGCGGGCGGTAGGGACGCGTGTCAGGGCTCGGCGGACTCTGGCTCAGCATCTTGGGACCACACGGCACACAGCAGGGCTAACAGTGTCCACGCTGCAGTGCAGGTGTGGAGGCCTCACGTGGGACGCCAGCCCTCCCTATGCCAGGTCTCTTCGTCCCCCACTCCCCAGCCCTCCCACGACCCGGGCCCTCCGAGGCCACCCACCTGAGTCTCTGCAGCCAGGCGGGGCATGGAGGCCGCTCGTCCCTGGCTCTCCAGCCCAGGTTGGGGCTCCCCGTCAGGACCTCGCAGGGCCATGCTCTGCATCTGGACATCCACAGCCTGGGCATACAGCAGCCCGCAGTCGCACCCACTGCCCCCCCCCACCTGCTCCCCCATCCCGAGCTCCCCCCCATCCATTCCTGCCATCTCCCACCATCCCTGTCTCATCATCTCCCATCCCCAGCCTGACCACCCAGCCCCGGGAGTCCTCACCGGTTTTCCCGGCTGCACCACCGGGATCTCTGCAGAGTGGCCACGCTCTAGGGGTGTCCTTGCCTCATAGGGTACCTCCTGGGTCCTCTGAGTGCCCCAGGAAACAGACTCCTTGATGCCACTTTCTTGGGTTTGTCTGTGAAGAGAGGGCTGTCCTGTTGGCTAAGAAGGCTATGGGCCACTAGGACCTGGCTCCGACCCGGCAGGAGCCTACGCTGGCCCTTTCTGCTCTGGGCTGGAGGAATCCCAGAAACAGGAAGCCCCTGGAGTACAGGCACTCTCCGGTGGCTGCTCAGCAAGGGATGCAGACCCAGGTCCAGGGCTCAGAGCAGGCGGGCAGAGAGGGAAGTCTGGGCCCATCACTTTCCGGCCTGTGGACAACCAGCAGGTTCCTCAGCCCTGGACAGGGGCCTCACATCCTCCATGTGTAACGGGAGCAGGAATGGTCCTTGGCAAGGACAGGGCCACATGTGTACATGATCTACAGTAGTAAGCCCCTGACAGGAGGCCCAGTCAGGAGAATGGAAGCTGGGCCTCCAGGCCTTGTGATCCCCAAGGTCACTCCATCCTGAAACCAGCTGCACACGTACCAGCATCAGACGGCAAAGTAAATGCCCCGACTGCCTGGTCCAGGCTGATTGCACTTGCAATAAAAGGGAGTGGTAACTGATTCTATAAAAACTATAACCATGAAAATAAGTAACATTCATTTTTCCTGAACTGAAATCTGACTGAGAACAATCCGAGAAGACATCAGGTAGGTCCACCAGCCCCAGGAGGGCTAGCCAGGGCCCAGGACCCAAGAGCTGCCAAGCTGGCCCCTAAATGTGAGAAGTTACACACCACTAAGTTATGGCAGTTTATCCCTCGGCAAAACCTATCTGATTAACACTCCATGACTCACAACAAGGCTCCAGAAAAGAAGGTCCAAAACATGTCCAGGAGAGAGGGAAGATATCGGGAGCTCTCACCATGCATGCTATGCCCAGGCTGCCATAGGCCTCGCACCTCAGTCCTTGCTGGGTGATGCACAGCCCGTGTCCCACTGTGGGCTTGGCCACTGGTTTGCTTTGGCCAGTGGGATGTTAGCAGACATGGGGACCCTGCTGGCCCTGAGGGGATGGCTGAGAGGAGCCTGCCTGCAAGCAGAGTCCAACCTGGCTGCCAGGCACCACCCCTCAGTGACCCACAGTGCTAGAAAGGTGACTGTTATTCTATAACACTTGGTTTTGGGTGGTTCACTACCAAGAATTGCTATGGCAAGAGTTAGGGGATAGGTGAGAAGAACATTAAAAATTTGCCTAAAAAATACAGTTGTTTCGGAAATCACTACCAGAGTGGAGATATGGAAAGAAAAATGTCTCAGAGGAGTTCAGAAGTTGAAAACACAAATAGGCCATCAACAGAATGGGGTAAGGACTGAGGAGGAGACAAAAAATTTCGCAATGGTCAGCAGGCACCAAAGGCCAGGGATGAAGCAGAGGCTCCTCGCCGGACGGACAAATGGGCATGCACTACAGGAGGTGCCAGTGGGAGCCATCAGCTGTCTAAACCGTTGGACCTCAGTGCTGTCAGAGGCACCCACCTGACATTTCAGGAGTGAGCTTTGGAGTCCACCACAGAAACATCTCTGGCAGCACAGCGCCCTAGGCCTTAGGCAGCACCCACACTGAGCCATTTGGTGGGAGGCAGGTACAGGGTGGACAGTGGAGCCAATCCCCAAAGGGGGTAATGGGACGAGGGCTCCCTGTCCGGGAGCACTGCCTATGGGGAGCCCCTCTGGGAGGTAGAGCACCCTCCTCCCTGCACCGCACACCCTGGCCTGGTACTCACACTGCCCCACCGTTGCTGAGGGACGCAGAGCTCTTCTGCCGAAGGAACACCCGGGCTCCTCGGAGCACAGCTGGCTGCGTCTGCTCCAGGGTGGCCTTCAGAGGGTGGAACAAGGACACAGGGCCCATCTGTACAAGGGACACAAAGAAGAAGAAAAGCTCTAGGCAGAGGCAGGTGCCTCGGAAAGCTGTCCTGACCCCACTGCATGGGTTGTGGCTCCTTCTGCCCTACCCCCAGTCCTACGAAGGAGGCAGGCTCACTCCCAACCTGGCCTGTGAGCAGCTTCAGGAAAGTAATTTCACTTCTTGCAGCCTCAGCTTCCCTACTTACAAAATCTGGAGACTACATCCAATTACAGATGGTAAAAAGATCTCACCTCATCATCAAAGTGGATTGACAGTTAGAGGCTGCAGGAGCCCTGGATTAAGCAGAATTCTGAGATTTCAGAGCTGCAGGGCAGGAGGGAGTCTCCAACAGACGGGAGTGGAGAGTGGTGCCATGGGCACAGATACTTCCCATCCCAAGGTGGGTGAATGTCCCTGTAAGCTCTGGACACAAGATGGACACTTTCTAGACAGTCTACATGGGGGTCACTAATATTTTGGCTGTGTGGAAATGTTGTTATCTCTGAAGGATGACACTGGGAAGATGGATCCCCCAACCAGCCCAGTCAGCGTCATGAGTAGAAGAAATCATGACCTATCAGTTTAAATCTCTCTGGTCCCTGCCTATGTGTAGGGACCTCCCCAAACCTCCTCCTCAAGTATTCTTCAAACTTCTTTCTTCTACCACTTAAAAAGTGGTGTCTCTGGGAGAATCTGTTCTCAGCCTCTTGTCTTCCGTTCCTGAACACCAGCTCTCCAAGTCAGGGGTTCCCCAGGACCAGCAAGAGACCAGCCACTGGGAAGTATACAGGCAGTATGGGGCTTCTGACTTTGGAGCCAGAGAGCTGAGGCAGCTGTAAAAGCCTCTCCTCTTCCTTTTCCCACTGTGCAATCTCCAACAAGGGTGTGGGTTCCCTCTGCTGTCAAACGACTGAAGGATGCCAGACCCTCAGATTTACTTCTTGGAAATCTTGGAACCTGGTACCTGGGATAGGCCACCCGTGGCCTGGTGAATCTGGTCTCTAGTGGTCTTGTTCTGTTTGTAGAAGTCGAATATCATCAGAGCTGCATAGACTTTCCCCACTGTCATCTCGTCAGCTGGATGGAGAGAAAACAGAGGATGGAATGTAAAGGGGGAAGGCAGGGTGAAGTGGGCTGAAGAAGCAGCCCCCCCGCCCCCCCCGGCCATGAGGAAGGCAGGGGGAGTGGGCTGAAGAAGCCCCACCCCGTTCCTCCCCCCCCGCCCCCCCCCCACAAGGACTCCTGGACACACTCAGGCGGAAGTACAGGGCTTGGCCCAAAGTTGCACAGTCCTCACTTGGCGCCTCCTGACACTCAGCAAGTACCCCCTGGAGATGCACTGACTGTCCCCACACGGCCCTCAATCTCCTCCCAAAGGAGTGGATGTGGAGTTTAATCTTTAAGCACTTCATCCTTTTTGGCATCTCTGACTGTAGGAGTCTCCTTGCTTTTCTCTGGATTTTTTGAAGTATATCCACCACCAAGAGTGTGGGTGACTGTGGTCACAGAATAAATCCCAGGTCACTCCCCCCGCCCCAAAACACACACACACACACACACACACACACACACACACACACACAGCCCTGTGTACTGGCTTATAAGACCATTTTTCCTGCAGGTGGAAACTAAGTCTAGACTATCTACAAGGCTTCCCTGGCCCAGGTCTCCCAGCTCTGCCTCTGGGTTGGACACAAAAAGGGGGTGAGGATGGGGAATTTCCTGCCCTCACTTACGTTTATGAGGTGGCACCAGTAAATCCAGCGTCTTCTGGGGCAGATTGGCCCACACAGAGGAAATCTCCTTCCTTAACTCTGCGTCACACTGATGCTGCTTCGTGCCAGCTAGGATGGGACAAGGGTGTGGAGGGGAATAAAGATGTAAGGAGCTGTCCCATAGGCCCCCTCGGGGGAGTAGGCAGAGCTGGGGCTGGCGGGGAAAGGTGTGGTATAGGGGGGAATTAGGGCAAACACAGTGCTCAGAGAAAGGCCAAACGGGAAGAAACACGCCATGCCGGCTGTCAGAGCTCCTGCTGGAAACCTGCCTCGAGACAGAGGTGCATGTGTGTAGGCCCTGGGAGTGGAGACGCAATTCGGTGACGGTCCAGCCATTCATCCACCCATTCAGAACTTCTCAGGGAACAACCCACATGCCAGGTACTGTTCTAGGTGATGGAACAAAAACAAAGGAGCTTCCCTGGTGGCATGATGTGGCATTAATCAGCAATAAAGTGGCAGTAAGTTAAAATCCAGTATGTTGGGTGCAGAAAAAGCAAAGGGGGGAGGGATTTTGGATACAGTAGTCAGGAAAGGTCTCATGAGAAGGTGGAGTGTGTGTAAGAGCCTGTAGGCAGGAAGGGATGAGGCGTGCAAAGCCCTTAGAGTGCTACATAGTGAGCCAGGACAGCAAGGCTCATGGGGGAGGGGAGGGGAGGGCAGGAAGTGCCGGGTGCAGATGCTGAGATGGAAGCAGCAGAGGGTGCTGAGCAGATGGACAGAATACTTGGATTTATCTTTTTTTTTTTTTTTTAACAATCAGGTTTACTATGGTATAATGTAGATACAGTGAAATTCACCCTTTTTAGTTAGCCCATTCGATGAATTTTGGTAGATGCCTAAAGCCATGTATCCACCACAACAGAGACATGTACACTGCACCACTGCCAAAGTCCCTCTGTTTGTTCCCTTTGGAGCTGACCCCTTAGCCTCCTCCCATCCATCCCATCCCATCACTCATGTATTTTCTGTCTCAGTTTTTTTGCCTTCTCCAGAATGTCAGACAAATGACATCACACGGTGTATTGGCTTTTGAGTACGACTTTTTCAACTCAGCATGATGCATTTGAGATTCATCCATGTTGCTGAATGTACCAGTAGTCTGTTCCTTTTGAATGCTGAGTACTATCTCATTGTACAGATAGTCCACAGTTTGCTTACCCATTCACCAATTGTGGACATTTGAGTTGCTTACATTTTGAGGTGGTTATGGAATAAAGTTGTAAACATTTGCTTATGCGTTTTTGTGTAGGTATATGTTTTCTTTGTATGTATGCCCTCATTGTGACTGTATTCATAGATAAGGCCTAGAAGGAGGTAATTAACGTGAAATGAAGTCATAAGTGTCCTTGTAAGAAGAGACACCAGAAAATTCGCTCACTCTCTGCAGGGACTCAAGGAAAGGCCACATAAGCACACAGCGGGGAGGTGACCAGGCCCCACAATGAAACCTACCTTCCGACACCTTGACTTGGACTTTCAGCCTCCAGACTGTGAGACATAAATTTCTGTGTTTAAGCCACTGAGTTATACAGTATTTTGTTAGGGCAACCCAAGAAGACTAAGACACTAAATGTCAAGATTTTTTTCCTTTTTTTTTTTTTTATCACATAATTGTCTAAGTTTTTCCAGTATCATTTGTTGAAATAATTCTTTTCTTCATTAATTGCCTTTACACCTTACCAAAAAAAAACAAAAAACAAAAAAAAAACATTGAAATGTAAGTGTGAGTCTCTGTTGTTCCATTGATTTATGTCTCTGTCCTGTCACTAACACCACACACTGTGATTAACATGCTTTACAGAAAGTCTTTGATTCAGGTAGAGTGCATTTTCCAACTTTGTTATTCTTTCAAAATTGTTTGTTATTCAAGTTCTTTTGCTTTTCTATACACATTTCAGAGTCAGTTTGTACATTTCTGCCTAAAAAGGTTGCAGGGATTTTGACTGGGTTAAAATTGACTGATTCTATTGATCAATATGGGAAGAACTGACATCATGAAAATATGGAGTCTTCCAATGCATGACTTGATGCATTGCTATGATGCACTGCTTGATTTATTTGGGTCTTCTTTGATTCTTTCAGTCAATGTTCTGAAATCTGCAACATACAAATCTCACATATACACTTTTTAGAGCTATCTGGCAACACAGAGGTATCTCATGTTTTTGGTGCAAATTTAATGGAAATTTTTTTCCATTTCAATTCTTAATTGCTGATACCTAGAAATACATTTTCTTCCTATCTATTGATCTTGTGTCCTGTGACCATGCTATACTCGTGTATTAGTTTTAATAACTTTTTTTTAATGGCTTGAAACAATAGGGATTTATTATTTTAGCTCTGGAAGCCAGAAGCTCAAAAGCAAGGTATTCACGTGGCTGTGTGCCCTCCAAATTCTCTGATGAAGAATCCTTCCTTGCCTGTTTCTAGATGTTGGTGGTTCTCAGCCATCCTTGAAATTCCTTGGCTTGCAGATGCCTCTCTTTTATTAACTTTTTATTAGAGTCTTTCAGATTTTCTCTAATGACAATCAGATAAATTGTGAATAGAGGCAGTTTTATTTCTTCCTTTCCAATTGGTATGCCTCCTATTTCTCTTCCTTAACATTACAATGACAATAACCTAAAGTATGATGTTGAACAAGAATGGTGACAGTGAACATCCTTTCTTTGTTCTTGATCTTAGGGGGACAGAGTCAGTCTTTGTTAAGAGTGTTAATCCCTGAAGGTTTTTCACAAATATCCTTGATCAGATTGAGGGAGTTTCCTTTGATTTCTAGTCTATGCAGAATTTTAACAATCATGAATAGATACATAATTTTATGAAATGCTTTTTCTGTATCTATGGAGATGATAATATAGTTTTACTTCTTTGACATATTAAATTACATTGATTGATTTTTAAACTTGAACTCAACTTGCATTCCCGGAATAAACTCTACTTTGGTCATCAAACACACACACACACACACACACATATAATATGATATGTGATATATATCATATTATATATATAGCTAGATTCAATTTGCTAAAATTGTGTTGAATATTTTTGTGCCTACAGTCATGAGGGATATTGGTCTGAAATTTTCTTTTCTTATAATGTCTTTGTCTAGTCTTAGTATCAGAGTCATGCTAGCATCATAGAGTAAGTTGACAAATATCCTCTCTTTTTATCCTTTCTGAAAGATTTTTATAGAGAATTGGTATTATTTCCTCCTTAAATGCTTGGTAGATTTCACTTATGGACCTAACTGGGGCTGGAATTTTCTTGGTTGGAAGGCTTTTCACTATAATTTAATTTCTTTAATAAATATAGTGCTACTCAGATTCTCTCTTACTTTTAAAAAAATTTTTAATGTTTTTATTTATTTCTGAGGAGAGAGAGAAAGAGAGCGAGCGAGCGAGCAGGGGAGTGTCAGAGAGAGAGGGAGATACAGAATGTGAAGCAGGCTCCAGGCTCTGAGCTGTCAGCACAGAGCCCGACACAGGGCTCAAACCCACGAACTGTGAGATCATGACCTGAGCCGAAGTCGGATGCTTAACCACTGAGCCACCCAGGTGCCCCTCTCGCTTACTTTTTTTTTTAACCCACTCAGGTAATCTATTCTTGAATGATCTTGACAGTTTGTGTCCATGAAGTTTTCTATTTCATTTAAGTTGCTGAAGTTATTGAGTGTTATGTTGAAGGCAGACAAGGGCAGAAGCAGACCAATGAGAAGCTACTAAAACAATCTAGTCAAGACCCAGGAGAGTGTGGCTTGGACGAGGAGCTGGCAGTGGGAGAGGGCAAACAAGTGATCATGTTCTGGTGTGTTTTGAAGGTAGAATCTGAAGATATGACAAGAGACCAGATATGGATCAGAACTGGAGGAAGGGGAAAAAAAGGTGGAAGGGAGAATGACTATAAAGGGTTTGGCTTGAGTGACTAACTGAAGAACAGAGTTCCCGCTGATGGAGGTGGGAAAGACCAGGGGGAATATGTGGTGCTCAAGTTTGGGCACGGGAACTTTGGAACATCTCCGAGTGGAGATGGTAAACAACTTCCTTCATGTAACACCTCACATGAGGTACATGTCTGGAGTTGGGACTAGAAACCCAAATGTTGAAATTCATAATATTTAGAGCCATAAGAATAGATGGAATGACAAAGGTGGCAAAGAGAACAGTCTGAGATGCATAGTGACATTCAGAGGGTGGGAGACAAGAGAAAACAGAACAAGAAACATCAGAGGGGTTCAAAAGGAAGGAGGTGACAGCGGAGGAAAGGCTGCTGATAGGTAAGTAAGATAAGGGCTGAGCACGTGGAGGTCCCTGGGGAGCTTTACAAGAGCAGTCCACTCTTGCAGTGAAAGCCCAAATGCAGCCTGAAATCAGAGAGGCAATACGGACCAGTCTCTCAAGGAGCTCGTTGTGATAAAGGAAAAAATAAAAACAGGGAAGCCAATGGAGGGGGAAGAAAACCTTTTAAAGATGGGAGAGATACTAGTATGCTTACACATTGATACAGATAATGTAATATATAGAAAAAATGGATGAGACAAGAAGTAGGGTACAGAATTTTTAGCTTGACATCTTCGGGAGAGGATGAGAAGGTGGGGACTGGCCCTGACTCATCCATGCCTGTGGCTGAGCTCAAGGGCATGGTGCAGCCAGGAGGGGAGTTTGGGGGTAGGGATGGTGCAGGTCCCCTCTAGTGGCTCTAATTTTCTCTGTGAAGATAAAGCAGTCATTATACGAAGATGAAGGTGGAAAGGACACACTAGAGCTTGTTCTCCCCTAGATTTGGCACAGGCTGTGTGGTCCTGTCAGTTAGCTCAGGAGAGGATCTGACCGGAACTGGGCTCACTACGGTGAGTGGGCAGACTCTTCACCCTGTAAGGGTGCTGACTCATGTGAACCTGGGCCAGGTTGTGTTCTGGCTCCACCACACTCTAGCTCTGGGTAACTGGGACAAGTCAGTTAATCTCACTGCACCTCAGATCCCTCAGGAAAATGGGATCATAAAAATGCTCACATGCGGGATGGTTACCAGGGGATAAAGTCAGTGCCCAACAGAGGTGCCATGGGCAGCTGTCCTCACTCCCCTCCAGACAAGCCCCCTCACCCTCCTCCCTGCACACCCACCTGGGGGTGTCTCTGAAGTGCATTGCCCGGCCCTGGCTTGGTGCCCTCCCCAGATGCTGCCTTGCTCACCTGGAGCCAGCTTGATCTCCAGTGCGGTCCGAATGAGGGCCATCAGCGTGGACGTGAAGTGGACAGTCATGTCCTCATTGGAGATGGGCATGTTCATGCGAACCAGGCGCTAGGGACAAGGGAAGCAGGTCAGGGCCATGCCTACCAGGGTCCCTCCGCCACAGGACTACAAGGTGCTCGAAGCCCCTAGAGGCTGGGCTTGGCCTCCTGGAAGTAGCTTCTGCAGGTGCCCATGGCCAAGCAAGGTTGGGTGGCTGGGAGTTTTGCCAGCATTCACACTCACCCTTGGACCCCCACCGTCATCTGAGCTGAGGATTCTCCTAGCTGCAGAAAAGAAGTCTGGGTAAAGACTGTAGAAGGAGGCTAAGCCAGAAGCCTGGATCCCTCTGAAAGAACAGGAACGTGCTTAGCCAGAAGGACCCCTCCCCAAGGCTAGAACAAATGGATATGGCCTAGGATGAAGAGGGAAGAGTCTGGGCTGCAGAACTGAGCTTGGGGCGCCCTGGGAGAGCCCATAGACAGGAGGGGAGACTCCCGCCCTTATAGCTTTGCCCAATGTCATCTCCTCCACCCACAGCCTAGAGCATACTGGGCAAGGGGTAGGATGGCCAAGAGCACAGCTCTGAGGTCCAGTTCCCAGTGAGGCGTCCCTCCACCCCAGGAAGACTTTTGTCTCTCACCACCCAGCCAGGGGGCCTGGAAGAGACGTCTGATGTAACTTGCCCAAAGCAGCCAGCACCTTCCAGTCAGAAGGACCCAGAAAAGATGGGACTGCACAGGGCCAGTGTGAAGGCTGGCAGGGAGCTCAGGCCCATCGCACAGGAATAAAAGTACTCCAGACCAGACTGGGGCAGGGCCCTGCTTCTTTGTTCCCTGTTTCCCCTTTCCTCTCTTCATTTTTCAAGGACAGAACAGCTGGAGACAGACATGTGTCTACACCATAGACCTCCGGATATAGCCAGCAGCTGCCCAGAGCCTGAGGCTCTGAGAACTTATGTGATCTCTGGGAGCAAAAGTATCCCTCGTGTGTCTGGAATGTCCTCAGCATGGAAGGTCACCAAGCTGACCAGGGGGAGCCCTAGGGACACTGTGATCCACCTGTCTTTTCCCAGCAGCCTCTTGTCCTCTACCACATGATAGAATTAGAGATGGGAGAACAGGGTCCCTGTCTGGGGTCTGCCTGCCCTCTGCCAAGCCAGTATCCTGCGACACGGCAGCCTCTCTTCCCCTCTGGGTTGGGCCCCCAGCCCTGCCCACAGCGTCTTGGCTCCAAATCCAGTCTTCAGCCTAATGGAAAGTGGGTGGCTAGAGACAAAAGCCCAGACTCTTCCCCCGCTGAATGCTGGCAAAGCCCCACCTGGCACCTCCAATCGTGGTCCCAGGACCTCACACATCACCTGTGTGATGCACATCAGGAAAACTGGCTTTCCAGAGCACAGGGTCCCTGCAGACTAGCACCGATGGCAGTAGAAGAGGCAGAGGGACTCCTTTCCAGGGGAGTCAAGAAGTCAGGTTCCAGCATGAAAGAGGAGCAAGTAGGTGATTTCCAAGAGAAGAGAGCTCTGTCCAGGACACCTTCACCAGAGGCTCTCCTCTGCCTGCCTAGGCCCTAGAAGGGCAAGGCCAAGGCAGACAGACAGGCATCTCCACCCTGGGCCTAGACCCTCGTGGTCACACTACTCTGTGCATCTCCTGGGCCCTCACTGGCTCCCCAAGCATCCATTTCTACCCACCCCAGGCCTCCCCTGGTCTATTCATGACCAGAACCTTGGAGCTGGCCAGCACAGCTGTGGAGGGGCCTTAAAGGCCAGCCCATGAGGGCCCTGCATGCCCAACCTGGCCTCAGGTATCGGTGTGGACAGAACTCTCCTTCTTGGACACAAAGCTACAGCCTTGCATGCAGGCCTCCAGGCAGGCACAACATGCATGCCACAGGGGAGGGCCGAGGAAGACATGAGAGGCATCTGTCTGTGGCTTGAAGGAGCCACTTGGCTTCCAAAGGCTGTGCTGAGCAAACTGACAGATGCATGCCTAGATTTAGAGCACAGAGACAGACAACGTGGACAGAACCAGAGAGATGAAAGCTCTGGTGGGAAGCTTGCTCAGAAAGAGGGTGGTGACAAGGAGGCTCCAGACACATGCTGGTTGAGCCGTAGGACTTGGGCCAGCTCTGTTTTCTGGGAGCACTGGGGATGGCAGGAGGGCTCTCAGTGCAGAGCAGGGGTGGGGGTGCTGGAGGGATGGAAGGTGCTTACACACCAAGGTGGGGGTGACTGAGGGCACATGGGCAGGAGGGAGCAGGCTTGGGGCTGGGCCATGTGACCTGCTTGCCCCCCAGAAGGGAGGCCTGGAGGTGTCCCTCAGTTTACCCCCTCTTTGCAACTCAGCCTCCTGGGAGAGGGGGCATGGGCCTACCTGGGGCCCTGAGACTGTCTTTACCCTGCAGCGCCAGGAATGACAGAAGGATGCCTCTCCTTGGTACCCTTTCCTTCTTAATGCCACAGTGCCTCCTTCCCTCTGTGGAACTTAACAAAGCCCTGGAGATGTTCCTCCCCAGGCTGACAACAGCCCAGGCCTGGGGAAATTCTGCATGTGCTGAGTCGGGTATACCAGAGGCCCTTCAGGCCCCTACTACTCCCGGGTCAGACCCTGAGGGCTGGATAACTCCACCCTCATCAGGTGTTTATGGGACAGAGGAGCTGAGTGTGGTCCTGAGCCCAGAGCAAAAAACGCTTCTGTCAAAAGGCTGGTCTGTCTCCTAATTTCCAGGAAAGAGAAGGAAAGGGAACGAGGCAGGTGGAGGGCTCTGGCTCCGTCTTCCTGAGCCTTTCGGGGGCTCTCAGAGGGGGCAGACCTGCAGGGACAAGGGCCGGGTGTACCATCATGGTACCTGTGTCCCTCTGTCTGGGAACGTAGAGGAGATGGTTGGAGCAGGGAAAAGGAAGAAAACAGTGAGACAGCAGAGCGGCAGACAGATGGACAAGCCCGAGAGGAGACAGGAGACCAGCCCCCAGCACAGCCAGCCTCCAGGGTGCAGGGTCGGGGTCTACCTTGTATGCAACTCGAGCAGGGCATTTCTTCCCCAGCCCCAGGGGCGGGGACATGTGTTTCAGCATCTCAAACATGTCATTGTAACTGATGCGCCCACTGGAGACCCGGCCCAGAGAGGCAGAGGCAGAGTGGGGTCCACAGGAGGGGTGCGGCAGGAGGGGGGCGGGGGGAGGAAGCAGACAAGAAAACAGATCCAGTTAACCAGCGTCAGATTAAATGCCAAAGTCAAAGTACGTAAAATGAGGGACTTTTCTGCTTGACTCGATCCCCTCCTTGCCCCCCCCAGCCTCACCTCCACACTCCAGCCCCACGCAGGGCAGCGGGCAGGGGTGACGTCTGAGCTAATGAACATGGAGGGATGAGGAAGGGCTGCATCGGGGCGGCTTTGGGTTGTCAACTTCTGATTTTACACTTTTAGAAACCACAGATAATGCCAAATCAGAAAAGAGCGGTTTCACCATGCCGGGAGAGCTGGCAGACAGAATTACATGACCGATGAGGCCGGCCTGAGAACCACGGCAGAAACATCAGCATTCCTTAATGCTCAATTTGCTTCCAAGTTAGCCTAGAGGCTAAAAAAGTGGAGAAAACTCTAAAACAAGCCAGAAAACTAGAGTGAGAGCCACGCTGTTCTGCAAGGAGTCCCGAGGCTCTAGAGACAAACTTGAAGGGTGAGTCCTGCTCCAAGCCCAGAGACGCCCGAGGCCGCCCAGGGCAGGGCTGCTGCTGGGAGTCAGGGCTGGGCAGGAAATGGGAGACTGCGGGGATGGGGGCCAGGGGCGTGGGGCGTGGTGGGCAGCTGGGGTGGGATGTGGCTTGGGGCCACTCTTGCACCCTCCTGACAGCACACCAGGGACAGGGCTGGGGCCAACAAGTGGGACGAGGCTCCAGATCCAGGGAGGTGTCTGGGGGCCAATGACTCTGCCTTCCCAAGGCGGACAGGCCACCAGGCCTGCTGCCTCATCAACCCTGGGGGTACCTGCCTATGGGACCTGCTTGGGGTCCCAGAGACACAGTTGGGTTCAGGCCACCCAGGAGAGAAAAGGGACCACATTTTCCTGGCGGGCATGTCTGCCCCAGGGCCTGGCCCTCCTCCCAGGGTGCCCAGCCTTGGCTGAGTGAATCAATCCAGAGGTGAAGCCGGAGGGCCTGCCTCTGGGCCTCCACTACCGCTGTCCTTTCCTCCCCCAGGGACCGGAAACCCCTGGGTTGCTGGGCTCTTCAGACTGGGAGGGGCAGCTGCTCCTGGTCTGCTGGTGCCCCTGCTCCCCTCCTCTGGGGCCCTTGGCCGCAGGCCTATCTGACTACTAGCACCCACTTGAGAGCCTGGAGGCGTAAGACAGCTGTTTCCTTGGCACAGGCAGGGCCTGGCCCCCGGCTCCCACCCAGCGGCCGACCCCTGCCCTCAAGGCCCAGCCAGAAAGCTTCGTGTGCACTGCCTCAGAAGGCTGCCTCTCCCCAGCCAGCTGGAGGGGTCGGGAGATTAGGTGGGGGGCCAAAGCGTCCAGGAGGTTGGAGTGCGGGGCAGGGCAGCACGGGAGGAGAGAGAGGTGAGGTGTCGTCATTCCCAAACCAGGCAGGGAGTGTGTGCTGTGTCTGCATTTCGGGCAGGGAAGAGTATGTCGGATGGAGGCTCTGAAGTTGCAAACCTTGTAGGCCAACCTACGAGGGCAGTTCTTCCCTAAGCCAACGGGTGGCGCAATACAACGCAACAAACTGTACATATCCTTATAATGAATCCGGCAACTGGAAAGGAAATGTCACAGGTTATGGCAACCGAGGCACGATGAGCCCGTCCCGCCCGCCCGCCCAGCCTGCGACAGGAAGATGTGTCCTTGCACGGTTGTGGAGGAGGAGCCAGGCAGCTGGACAGGCAGCTCCCCACAGGGAATCCTGGGGCTGGGACAGCCTGGGAGGCACAGCAATCCCAAAGGACTTTCCAGAGCCTGATGCAGGCAGGAGACACACTGTACAGAACAAGTGCCAGCCCCTGTCCCAAGCTCCCACTGTGCACACGTGGAAACCGCCGGTCCATCTCTCCCAGGGCCTCGCTCACCCACCCACTCTGCGGCCCCTCCGCTTGTTCCCTGAGCGCCTGAGACCCGGTGCCTGGCTCTCCTGACTGTCCCTGCCTCCTGAATCCCCTGGAATCTGCTGGTCCAGCTAAAGACCCCCTGGTCGCAGGGTGGCACCCCGGCCAATGCTGATGTCTCTCTCTCCCGTACTGTGAACCTCCTCAGTGCAATCAGCTCCAAACTACTTTTGGAAAAGTGGGAAGCAGGAAGAAGCCCACTTCTTGGGCCACACCCAAGGTGCTTGCTAATTCTAACTGGACCCAAAGGACCGAGCACAAAGGGGCTGGGAGCAAGGTGAACCCCCAGCCCCAATAATCACCCCAACCCAATTTACAGCCTGTTCTGTGGCTCATCTTCTCTCTTCCACCATCAGATGCCTCAGATGGCACCAGATGAAAAGGAGGGGCATAATACTGTCACTCCAACTCAAAAACTGTCCTCACTGTCTACAAAACAAAGCCAAAGCTACTTGTTTCTCTCAAATTTCAAGGCCTTCTCAACCTGTCCAAGCCCCCTTCCGGCCCCTTTGCAGTGCGCTCTCTTCTCCATCAGACAGACTCCCTTCCCTTCACCCCTGCCTCTACCTCCTTCTCTACAGCTCAATCCTTTCTACCCTCTTTAAGTTTGGTTCAGATGTTACCTCCCCTGACTCACCAGCCACACAGGGTCTCTCCCTCCTCAAATGCCCTTGCCTCACACTGTGGTCTTCTGCCCTCCCACAGCCCTATTGGGCTCAGTGTCCTGAGAGCACACACTTGCTGCACCTACAGGCCCCCAGTCCCCAGCACACGGCGGATGCTCAGGAATGTTGGCTGGGCAGATGGATGAACATCAAGGTGAATTGACAGACTGCTCACAGAAGGTTTGACTGTGACTCTCCTTTTGAGTCTCTACACTTCACCACCAAGCAAGGCAGCAACAACACGGAGGATGAGAGAAGGCAGCACCAGAAAGCAACAAGCCCATGCCTTCTTCATCTCTCCACAGCATGCACGTGTGCGCACACACGTGCATGTATGTATCCAGGTACACGTGCATTCACACACACGCACACAAATGCATATGCCCGCGTATACCCATGCACACATACACACAAACATGCGCTGCATTCACACACTTGCACACAATCACATATGTACGTGCTTGTACACACACACAAACCATGTGCGCATGAGCACACGTGTGTCTGCTACACACGTGCATACACACGTGCTACGTGTGTGCACATACCTGTACACATATGCACAAACACGTCCATACACACACGTATACACTTGCACACACATTCGCATAGCCACACAGGTGCAAACACATACATACACACACATATGAAAGCTTGGGAAATTTCACAAAACTGCGTTGTTTCTAAGTCTCTCCAGAGTGGCCCCCTGGGTTATAAAGATGACCACATCCTTGCATCTGCCATGGAGGCTACTGAAAGGTTCAAAGCACCCTCTGTCCTGCCTAGGATACGGGTTCAGTCTCCAACCACTCAGCTGTCTCTGCTGGGCCTTCCCATCTCCTACCATCTGGAGGCAAGCTACGTTTCCAGCCCCAGCCACAGGTGGGAGCAGCAAGTCTGAGCGTTAGCTGTGGCCCACATCTGTGCTACTTGTGGACCATGGTCTTGTGTGCTATTTCCCAGATGTCACCTCTGGGGTGAGCTTCTAGTTGCTATCTACTCTTCCATAAGCACCTCCTTTACCATGCTCCCGGCCTGCCTTCCAGAGGCCCCACGTTCAGAACTCTGGATTTGGGAAACCCTGTGCACCACTGCAAAGTCACAGTCTGGCCCAAGTCCAGTGCTGCTCCACCTGTGGCTAGAGTAGGGGAAGTCCTAGGTCTATAGTTCATAAAGATTTGGGGGAAGTCCTCCCCTCTCACAGGCCTGCACTGACCGGCCTCTGTCCCTTGGTCCAAGTCACATCCCATACAGCATCTCTGTTTCTCTGCCGCACAATCTCTACAAACAACGTGCCCAGAAACAGTAGCATGCCTTTAGACCACAGTCTGGAAGAGCTTCTAGAATAAGCCTCAAGCCTGCCTTACTTGGGGTCTCTCCAGCCCTCTGACCTGCCAGGGCTCTCCTGACCAGAGAACCCAGGCCTACTCCCTGGGCCTATGGGTGCCAGAATGATACTAAGCACTGCAGGGCCAAGGTGCTGATGCATCAGCAAAATGACAGGACTCTCCAACCACAAAAACGGTCACCTACACACACCATGAAACATTAATAACAGCCACACTTGCTCTGCACTGTGTGAAAACGATGCAGTTTTCATTACAGTGAAAAACACCCAGAGACACTATAGGCCTGGAAGTGCCCTAAAGTTGCTGATGTAGCCAGAGGTTCCAGGGTTTGCCCAGCCTGGGAAGGGCCTCACGCAGCACCTTTCTGGATCCTCACAGGAAAGGGTGGGGGCTCTAGGAAGGGTGGATGAGAGTGCGGTTTGGGAGCCCTGCTGAGCTCCCAGGTCTTCAGGAGCTTAGGGGGTCAGAGAGCTCTGGAGCACGTCTCATGCTGAGCTTCAGCTGAGGGAAAAATAGGTAAAACCTCAGGCACTCTGTGAGCAGTAAGGTCCCTGCCATGAGGACACTGACCGTCTTTTCCAGGCTTCTACCACACAAGAGGTGACCAAACCCAGCTGTGTGAGAGGAGCATGGGCGGGGAAGCCCAGAGAGAGGAGGCAGGAAGAGGCTACACCCCACCTTCACAGTCTTCTTGCTCCCTTCAAGTGAGGGAAGGGACGGACGCACCCACTTACTGATGCATTATTCATTCACATTCATGTCTGCTGAGCGCTCACCTCGAGCAAGGAAGGCACTGAGCAGGCCTGCGCCTCACCCAGCACCCAGGTCTCTTGGCCCCTCCATGTCCTGTGTTCGGCCTTGCAGAGAGCATGCCCTAACGACTCAAGTATCCACTTGAGAGAGTGAAAAGAATGAATAAGCAAGTGAATGAGCGAGTGATGAAGACACAGACAAATGGGCAGATGGTGAGTCCGGGCTACTTTGCTAGCCCCGAGGATGAAAAGTATGTCCTGGCTGGGTGTGCAGGACCCTCCCACGAATCACAGAACAACCTTCTAACCCAAGCCAGTCCCCTCATGACACACTTGCTCTGTCTGGAAACAAATCACCCCTCACTTATGAAATTCAGTAAACCTTTCCTGCCACGACCAAAGGGTCTTACGCATGCTAGACCCTTCCTGGTAGCTCCTTTAATTTCAGCAAAAGTTCACCAAGCACCCACTATTTGCAGCCCGGGCTGGGGACACACAGATGCATGTTGGCTCCTGTTCCCAAGGGACATGGCAGAGAGGGAGAGGCCTGAGACCATCGGGGAGAATGTTATTTCTGCCACTACGGCCTCCAAGCTTCATTCGGACGGTGAGGCCCCAACAGATGGCCCTCCTGCTGTGTCCACACCCTCGCCCTTGAGGGGCGACCCTCCATGACCCTCACGTGACAGACCTGTGTGGAGACAGGACACTCCCATTCAGCAAGAGCTCCGAGACTCACAGACCCCCGGGAACCTCCTGAGGGCTGGACTGAGGTCTCAGGCAGCGTTTCTCGGCCTAGGGAGTGGTGTGAAAGCAGCGCGGCAGTGAGGAGGGGAGTGGCACCCGCAGGGGACCCCACACCCACTATGTGGGCCTGACCAAAACCTGAGGGGGTGCTCACATGACACAGACCTGAAGCCACCCAGCCTTGTCCCAGGATCCGTGGCACGGACCGCCCTGGGGGCCACTCACCACGCAGCCGGGTCGTACTCAGCCCAGACCCGGATGAACTCGTCCAGGTGGTGAGGCCCCAGGATGGAAGAGTCCCGTGTAAGGTACTCAAAGTTGTCCATGATCACGGCCACAAAGAGGTTCAACATCTGTAGGGCAGGAAGGGGAACGGGTGACATAAAGAGACCGCAGCCTGCCTCTATCCTAGCCCTTACCCTCCAGCCAAATTCTGTATGTGAAATCATCATGGCAGCAGAGGCCACTCCGACCCGGCCAGCCCCTGGGCCTCTGCCACACGCCCACTGCCACCCCCCCCCCAGCAGCCCCCTGCCCTCGGGTTCTAGATCCGACAGGCTCACCCGAACCTCTCCTGCTCTCTGCTTCTGTTTCCAGACCCTAATTCATGTCCACAAACTCCCAACCCCATCTTATTCTCCTCTTAGCTAGACAGCAGTGACTTTGGAGTCAGTAGTTTGGACTCTAGAGGCTGAAAGCTCAGCTTTTTTTTTTTAATTGAGTTGAAATTCGCATAATATACAATTAATCATTTTGAAGTATACAATTCAGTGTCATTTAATGTATTTACATTATGTAACAACCACCTCTCTAGTTTCAAAATTTCTTTATCACCCCAGAAAAATTCCTTGTACTTTAAGTAATCACCCTCCCCGCCTTCCCAGCAGTCACCAATCTCTGTTCTATATCTAGAGACTTGTCTATATGGGATATTTCATGTAAAAGGAATCATACGATATAGGACCTTTTGTGCCTGGCTTCTTTCACTTAGCATGCATGACTCTGTGAAGTTCATTCATATTTTAACATGTGTCAGAACTTCACTGCTTTTAAGGGTAAATAATATTCCATAGTAGGTATATACCACAATTTGTTTATCCATTCATCCACTAACGGACATCCTGGACTCTTTCCATCTTTTGGTCAAACTGTTTTCCACAGAAGATGCTTCGTTTTACATTCACACCACAATGTACAAAGTTACTATTTCTCCATGTCCTTGCCAATGCTTGTTATTTTCCATTAAAAAATTATCATTATAGCCATTCTGATGAGTGTGAAGGGAGTGTGTGGTTTTGATTTGAGTTTCCTTAATGACCAAAGATGTTGAATATCTTCATGTGCTTGTTGGCCATTTGTATATTTACTTTGCAAAAATGTCTATTCTGATTCTTTGCCCATTTTTTTATGGTTGCCTTTTTTAGTTGAGTACTATGAGTTCCGTAAGTGTTTTCAATATTATCCCCTTATAAAACATGAGATTTAATATTTTCTCCCATTCTTTAGACTGTATTTTCACATTTTTATAATCCCCCTTGATGCATAAAAGTTTTGATTTTGAATAGTCTGATTTATTTTTTCTTTTGTTACCTGTGATTTTGGGGTCAAATCTAGGAATCCTTTGCCAAACCTGAGACCGTGAATATATGCCCTCTATGCTTTAAGAGTTTTATAGTTTTAGCTCTTTTTTTAAATTTTTTTAATGTTTTATTTATTTCTAGGAGAGAGAGAGAGACAGCGTGAGCAGGGGAGGGTCAGAGAGAGAGGGAGTGACAGACTCTGAAATAGGCTCCAGGCTCTGAGCCGGCAGTCAGCACAGAGCCCGACGCGGGGCTCGAACCCACGAACCGCAAGATCATGACCTAAGCGAAAGTCGGACGCTTAACCGACTAAGCCACCCAGGTGCCCCAATAGTTTTAGCTCTTATATTTAAGTCTCCTCAGTTCTGAGTTTAGTTATATAAATGTAGTGAGATAGGCGTTCATCTTTGCTTTCTTGCATGTGGATACCCAGTTGTCTCCTCATCATTTTTTTTTTAAGAGAGAGAGAGTGAAAGAAGCAAAAGGAGACAAAGAGAATCTTAAGCAGGCTCCACACCCCAACATGATCTCACAACCCTGAGAACATAACCTGAGATGAAATCAAGAGCGGAGGCTTAACTGACTTAGCCACTCAGATGTCCCCTTCACCATTTCTTAAAGAAGCTATTCTTTCCATACTGAACAGTCTTGGCATCCTTGTCAAACATCAATTATCCACACATATTTGGACTTACTTCTACAATCTCAATCCCACCCCATTGGGCTATTTATCTATCCTTATGCCAATACCGCACTGTCCCAACCACCATCAATTTATTGAGATATATATATATCTCATATATATATATATCTCATATATATATATATGGCATAATTATAAGATACTTAAAATGTATTTTGTGGTAATCTGATATATGCTATACATATATATATATATATATATAGCACTTCTACCATCTAGTTAATTAACACACCTATCATATTTTTTTTGTGGTAGAACATTGAAGTTCTACCCTCTTAGAAAATTTCAATTATACAGTACAGTGTTATCCACTACAGGCATCATGTTTTATATTATGTCCTCGGGCTTTATTCATATTATAGTTGAAAGTTTGTACTCTTTTACCAACCTCTCCCTATTTCCCCAACCCCTAGTCGCTGGCAACAACTTTTCTACTGTTTCTATGAATTTAACCTAAAAAAAATACCACATACAAGTGAAATCAGTATTTGTCTTTTTCTGTCTGGCTTATTTGAACTAGCATAATGCCCTCAAGATCCATCCATGTTGTCACAAGTGATAGGATTTCCTTCTTTTCAACGGCTGAATACTCCAGTGTGTGTGCGCATGTGTGTGGTGTATCACATCTTCCTTATCCATTCATCTGCTGATGCACACTTAGGTTGTTTCCATATCTTGCCTACTGTTAGTAACGATTCAATGAACATGGACATGCATATTTCTCTTCAATATCCTGTTTTCATTTCCTTTGGATATATACCCAGAAGTGGGATTGCTGGATCATATTTTAGTTCTATTTTTAATTTTTTCTATACTATTTTCCTATACTGTTTTCCATAGTGGCTACACCAGTTTACATACCCACCAACATTAGACAGGGGTTCCCTTTTCTCCATATCTTTCCCAATGCTTGTAATCTCTTGTGGCTTTTTTGTTTGTTTCTTTGTTTCATGACAGGCCATTCTAAAGGTGTGATAGGTCACTGTGGTTTTGATTTGCATTTTCCTGATGATGAATGATGTTGAGCACTTTTTCATGTGACTGTAGGCCATGTTTTCTTTGGAAAAGTGTCTATTCAGCCACATTGTTTTGATTTATGGTAGCTTTATAGGAGTCAGTTATGAAATAGGGAAATATGACTCCTCTCACTTGGTCTTCAATTTTCAAGATTTTTTGGTTAATTGGGGTTCCTTGCCATTACAAAGGAGTTTGAGGATCAGCTTTTCCATTTCTGCAGAAAGGCCAACAGATCTCTGACAAGGATCATACTGAATCTGGAGTTCACTTTGTGGGAACACTGCCACCTTACCAATATTAACTCTTCTGATCCATGGGCATGCATGTCCTTTCATTGAATTAGGTCATCTTTAACTTATGTTAGCAATATTTTGCAGTTCCCAGTGTACAAGTGTCTCATTTCCATGAGTATTTATTTATTGCCAGGTATTTTATCCCTTTGGATGCTACTGGAAATGGAATTATTTCTTTAGTTTCCTTTTCAGGTTTTTAAAAAATTTTTAGTGTTTATTTATTTTTGAGAGAGAACATGTGCACACAAATGGGAGAGGGGCAGAGAGACAGAGACAGGGAGAGAGGGAGAGAGGGAGGGAAGGAGGGAGGGAGAGAGGGAGGGAAGGAGGGAGGGAGAGAGGGAGAGAGAGAGAGAGAAGATCTAAAGTGGGCTCTGTGCTGATGGGGATCAAACCCACAAACTGCGATATCATGACCCTAGCTGAAGTTGGACACTCAACCGACTGGGTGCCCCACTTTCAGGTTGTTTATTGCTGTTGCATAGAAACATAACTGATTTCAGTGTGTTGACTTTGTACTCTGACACTTTGATTAACTCATTTATTAGTTTCAGTACTGTGTGTGTGTGTGTGTGCGCGCGCGCACACGCGTATGTATATTCTTTGGGATGTTCTCTATATACAATAACATCAGCTTTTTTAAAAAAATGTTTATTTCTGAGAGAGAGAGAGAGAGAGAGAGAGAGAGGGACAGCGTGAGCAGGGGAGGGTCAGAGAGAGAGGGAGACACAGAATCTGAAACAGGCTCCAGGCCCTGAGCTGCCAGCACAGAGCCCGATGCAGGGCTCAAACCCACGAACTGTGAGATCATGACCTGAGCCGAAGTCGGACGCTCAACCGACTGAGCCACCCAGGCGCCCCCAATAACATCAGCTTTAAATAGAGATAGCTTTACTTCTTCCTTTCCAATTTTAAGGCCTTGTATTTCTTTTTCTGGCCCAACTGCTCTAGCTAGGGCTTCCAGCACAATGTCGAATTGAACAGAAGTGATAAAATTGAGCACCCTTGTCTTGTTCCTGATATTTAGGGAACACTTTTTAGTCTTTCACCACTGAATTTATGTTAGCTATAGGTTTTGTCATAACTGTTCTTCATCATGTTATAAGAGTTTCTATCATGAATGGGTACTGAATTTTGTCACATGCCTTTTTTTGCATCTATTGAGGTAATCATGTGGGTTTTTTCTTCATCACCTAGACTGATTTTTATATGTTGAAAATGTATCCTTGCATTCCTGGGATAAATCCCATTTGATCATGGTATATAATCCTTTTAATGTGTTGTTGGAATTAGTTTGTTCAAGATTCTTACTGTATATTTGTCAGGGATAAATACAGTTTTCTTCTGTTGGGGCATCTTTACCTGGCTTTGGTTTCAGGGTAATGCCAACATCACAGGATATGATAGGAAGTGTTTCCTCTTCTATGTTTTGAAAGAGTTTGAATACGATGTAGGTTAAGTCTTTTTTAATACCATTTTTAAAAATTGAGGTAAAATATGCATAACAAAAAGCGTATCAATATAACCACTTTTGAGTGCACAGTTCAACGCCGTCGAGCACATTCATACTGCTGTGCAGCCATCCCCACCGTCTGTCCCAGGACCCCTCTACCTTCCCCAACTGACACTCTGTCCCCACTAAACACGCACTCCCATCCCCTCCTCCAGCCCCTGAACCCACCATCCTGCCCTCTGTCTCGATGAGCTTCACTACTCTGAGGACCTCACAGGTGAAATCACACTGCATTACTTTTTGTCACTGGTTTATTTCACTTAGCATAATGACATCACCGTTCACTCATATTGTAGTGTCAGAGCTTCCTCCCTTTTTTTATTTTTATTTTTTATTTATTTTATTTTTTTAATGTTTGTTTTTATTTATTTCTAGGAGAGAGAGAGAGAGAGAGACAGCGTGAGCAGGGGAGGGTCAGAGAGAGAGGGAGTCACAGACCGAAACAGGCTCCAGGCTCTGAGCTGGCAGTCAGCCCGACGCAGGGCTCGAACCCACGAACCGTGAGATCATGACCTAAGTGAAAGTTGGACGCTTAACCGACTAAGCCACCCAGGCGCCCCATTGTTTACTCATTTTTAAGAGACAGAGAGTAAGTGCGGAAAGGGCAGAGAGAGAGGGAGACACAGAATCCAAAGCAGGCTCCAGGCTCTGGACTGTCAGCACAGAGCCCGACGCAGGGCTCGAACCCACGAACCATGAGATCATGACCTAAGCGAAAGTCAGACGCCCAACCGACTAAGCCACCCAGGCGCCCCAGAGCTTCCTCCCTTTATAAGGCTAAATGATATTCCCTTGCACATTCATGTCACATTTTATTTGCCAAACATTTGTTGATGGGCACTTTGATTGCTTTTACCTTCTTGCTATTGTGAATAATGCTGCTATGAACATATGTGTACAAATATTTACTCAAGTTCTTGCCTTCAATTCTGGTATATACCCAGAAGCACGGCTGTTGGATCATACTGTAATTCTATTTTTTTTTGTTTTTTTTTTAATGTTTTATTTATTTCTAGGAGAGAGAGTGAGACAGCGTGAGCATGGGAGGGTCAGAGAGAGAGGGAGTCACAGACTGAAACAGGCTCCAGGCTCTGAGCTGGCAGTCAGCACAGAGCCCGACGCGGGGCTCGAACCCACGAACCGCGAGATCATAACCTAAGCAAAAGTCGGACGCTTAACCAACTAAGCCACCCAGGCGCCCCTGTAATTCTATTTTTACTTGACTGAAGAACTGCCATACTGTTCTCCACAGTAGCTACACCATCTCACATTCCCGCTAGCAGCACATAGGGCTTGTTTCTCCACCACCCCTGCAAACCTTGGGCAACACTCTCTCTCTTCTTCTCTCACACCTGTGTTTAATCATCAGTCATGTTGGCTCTAACTTTAAAATACATTCAACCCTCTTCATCCCCACCCCTCTCTAGACACTGTCACCTCCAATCATCTCCCTGACCACTCTTCAGCCTCTCCTGACCAGAAGCCAGAGCAAGGTTTTAAAATGTCAAACAGATTGTGTCATGCCCTTGTTCAAAGTTTTCCAGAGGTGTCTGATGACTTGGAATAAAATTCACACTCCTTGGACCTAGTCCACTGACCTCTCCAACCAGCAGTTTCCTGAGGCTCATCAGCCCCAGGCACACTGGCTGGAGTGCTGCTTCTTTGTATCCCAGCACCATAGTAGAGGCTAAAGACTAAGGGACAATTGTCCCATGGAAATTTATAGTTTTTTTTTTTAATATTTTTTATTTATTTCTAGGAGAGAGAGAGAGAGAGACAGCGTGAGCAGGGGAGGGTCAGAGAGAGAGGGAGTCACAGACTGAAACAGGCTCCAGGCTCTGAGCTGGCAGTCAGCACAGAGCCCGACGCGGGGCTCGAGCCCACGAACCGCGAGATCATGACCTAAGCGAAAGTCGGACGCTTAACCGACTAAGCCACCCAGGCGCCCCATCCCATGGAAATTTAAAACCTTTTCTAAGAAGGAAAGGCAAGGCCCACAGGAGCTCATCACAAGGTGGTCCTTTTGGGGTTAATGAGGTCATCAGTTCTGGGGATACAGGACCATCAACACAGAATCAGCTTGTGATATTACATGAATCAGTATCAGGGATCAGTCACAGATGTAAGGGGACCCAGGATGGACTGAGAGAGCTGGACACATGGAAACAGTGACCAGGACTTACCAGAAAGGAGCAAAGGAAGATGAAGGAGACGAAGTAAAAGTAGGCAAAGTCGCTCCCACACTCATTGGCATTGGCGTGCTCATCACAGGCCTGGTTGCTGAGACAAGACAGCATGATCTCGTGCCAGGCCTCCCCGGTGGCGCTCCTGAGAAGAACGGCGGAGTTATGAGGCCCACGAAGAAAGGCCCAGACCAGCCTGGAAGGGATCTCTGAAGAGCTCGTTCAAGTGCATACCCTCTCTAGATTCCCTCCCTGCTCACGTTGTAAGGTCTTCTTTTTTTATTTTTATTTATTTTTGAGATAGAGACAGAATGTGAGCAGAGGAGGGGCATTGAATCCAGACAGGCTCCAGGCTCTGAGCTGTCAGCACAGAGCCCGACACAGAGCTTGAACCCACAAGCTGCAAGATCATGACCTGAGCCAAAGCAGGACTCTTAACCGACTGAGCCACCCAGGCGCCCCAGGAGATACCTGCTTCTTTTTTTTTTTTTAATATTTTTATTTATTTCTAGGAGAGAGAGAGAGACAGCGTGAGCAGGGGAGGGTCAGAGAGAGAGGGAGACACAGACTCTGAAATAGGCTCCAGGCTCTGAGCTGGCAGTCAGCACAGAGCCCGACGCGGGGCTCGAACCCACGAACCGCGAGATCATGACCTAAGTGAAAGTCGGACGCTTAACCGACTAAGCCACCCAGGTGCCCCGTGGAGATGCCTGCTTCTTAAAAAGAGTCCTCTGTCGTTAGGATTGATCATTAACTTGGAAAGAACCATTTACTGAAAATAAGGCACTGCACCAAAATTCAGCACCATGGTGAGTGCCCCTCTGCCACCTCAAAGCCAGCACAGCCCACCAGCTTTCCTGGTCTCCCCACCCCACCCCCACCACCCCTAGCCTTCCTTGATTCAGAAAATGACTCCATCCTTCCAGTTTCTTAAGACAAAAATGTTGCAGCCATCTTTGCCTCTTCTCCTACTCACCATACTCTATTCATCAACTCATCTACTATCAAAAAACAGCCAGAATCTTACCACTTCCCACCACTCTGGGCTAAGCAACAATCACCTCCCCTGAGCTGCTGCAACAGCTTCCTAAATGATCTTCCCCACACAACAGCCCCTTGGGTCCGCTAAACATAGGTGAGATCAGGCCACTTCTCCTCTCAACCAACCTCTCTCACTGCAAAAGCGAAAATTCACATGACTTCCCGCAGCTCTGTGTGACTTGCTACCTGTTTTTTCCCAGTGGTCCCTGTTCAGTCCACTCCAACCACACCAGCCTCTACTGTTTCCTGAACACACCAAGAACAACCCCAACCTCAGTGGCCACCCTGGAAAGCCCTTCTTCATGGACTTTTGTCCCTGGATATGCAGCCAGCACGAGGGCCAGATGTGCACAAAACTTATAGGCAGACCAGAGGCCTGAGTCCCCTCACATTGGTGTGCCTCTATGGCCAGCTGTGGGCACAAGCCAAGCCTACTCCCCATTGACAAAGGCTAGGGGTAGAGGCCTTCTCCTGCAGAGCAGCTGCCCTGTGCCAGGTCTGGCTGATACTGGTGTTCATATGTAACATAGAGATCAAGGAGGAAAAAAGATCTTAGAAAACAAAGACTTAAAACTAAGGCCTGTTTCATACGCCTGCCTCAACTCTTGCAGCAAAGGCAGGACATTAATAAATACAGAGATAAAATTAACAGAATAGCTAAAATCCAGAGAAATGACTCTATTTGGGGAAAGTGTAGGCTTAAGGATACTCATCCATCTGATATAAGAAACAAGAGGGGTGCCTGGGTGGCTCAGTCAGTTCAGAATCCAACTTCAGCTCAGATCATGATCTCACAGTTCATGAGTTCAAGCCCCACGTCAGACTCTGTGCTGACAACTCAGAGCCTGGAGCCTGATTCAGATTCTGTGTCTCCCTCTCTGTGTCCCTCCCCTGCTAATGCTCTCTCTCTCTCAAAAATGAATAAAAATTAAAAAAAAAAAAGATGAAGAAGAAGAAACAAGAGTCAGACAACTCCTTCCAGACAGCTCAGCAAAGCAGACCTGGCTCTGATCTCCCTCCAGGGAAAGAAGAACTTCCACACACCCCAGAATGCATCTGCACAGGGTTAGCTATGTTGGGCATCCCCCAGCACAGGCCTTGCATCAGCTCAATGCATTTACATAAATGAACATCAGTTTGGACACCTCAAGAAGGGGTCCCAGGTAGGGTCTAATGTCAGCACCTCTCCTCCACAAGCCAGTACAAAGAACTCCTTCCTTCCTAGGCTCATGGTGGTGGGCTTGGTTAAATGAAAAAGACTCTGGAGGCAGGGAGACACATTCACCCCTCTTCCTTCAGCCTCCAAACCAGGATGGTCAAGAGCCTCCAATCCACAGAGGGGGTGCCGTGCCTAAGAAAAGCAGCTGGCACCAAGTGCTCTCAAGCACACCTTTGCAGGGGGGCTTCTGAGCCAGAAACACGCTCTGTGCCCTCAAGGGTCCACCCTGGCGCTTGACCTGGGGTCTTGGGAATTGCAGCCCTGTGAGCCATGGGGGCAGGTGGAAGTGCACTTGGACCAGCAGTTCTGGCCAGCTGAGTTCCTTGGTTCAGTGAGTAGCATACACTATATCAAGAGGGGTTCCCACTGCCCTGCTTCCCCCTGATCCCACAGATCCTCATAATCCACAAGGTGAAGAGATGGAAAGCTTATGGCCAGCACACCAAAAAAGGCCTTGTTGGGTACCTTCTGACCTCCCAGACCTTCAGCTGCAGCCTCACTAGAGGCCTTGTGGTCGCTGTCAGGGACCAGAGATGAGGTGGTAGAGGTCAGACTAACACAGGGCTCTCAGGCTGACTGAAGCCCAGGAACCCTTAGGAAAGGACAACAAAAAGAGGAGATGCTGGAAAGGTCCATTGAGCAGAAGTCAGCACAAGCTGGGCAGTCGCATGGGTCAGCACACACCCTGTGTGTCCTGAGTAGAGGAGCCTCTGAGCCTGGGCTGACTTCCCAAACAACACACCTGAACAACAGCATCAAGGCCTGTAAAAACGTTCGAAAGTTGTTGTGTCGGTTGATGCTGGTGTCATCATCCAGGGCAATGTTTCCAAAAACCTGAAACGAAAAATAAGGCCATAGGCTGATACTGTTGGGTCATCAGGAGCTGTGGCCAAGGAGAAGAGGGTGTGTACACATAAGAACCCACAAGGCACAGGACACGGCCCTTACTACCACTACTGCTGCTGCAGGGACTGGAGGACTAGGGCTTCCAGCTCTGGCAGCGTCTATGCATTTCCAGTGCCAGACAAAACTTCTCCAAAGCCAGATGTGGCAATGTCCCACAGCTCAGCATGTCCACAGGTTCAAGTCTGCATGCCTGGTAAAAATGGGACCTGGAGCTGAGTTTACATGGGTTGGAAGCATTTGAAAGTTCATTCTATTGTCAATGATTCTGAAGCAGTAATTATATTGGTAATAGCTATGAGATCACTTGAAAGTTTCTTTTTAAATTTCTGTACAAACATCACAATGGGCTTTTTATACATTTTATTGATATCTTTTCAAGGTTAGAAATGCAAACAGGTCAGTAATTGTACTTGGCTTAATATCTAGAATCTGGCTGAAAAATTTATGAATTATTACATAGTCACCAGAAGTAAAGCTCAATGACATTTATGGTTTTGTACATCCATAGACCAAAGCAGGAAAAGATATATATTTGTTTTAAATAGCATCAGATCTCAGGACATTTTAAAGTAGGAGAACTTTTGGGGTGCCTGGGTGGCTTAGTCGGTTAAGCGTCCGACTTTCGCTTAGGTCATGATCTCGCGGTTCGTGGGTTTGAGCCCCGCGTCGGGCCCTGTGCTGACTGCCAGCTCAGAGCCTGGAGCCTGTTTCAGTCTGTGACTCCCTCTCTCTCTGACCCTCCCCTGCTCACGCTGTCTCTCTCTCTCTCTCCTAGAAATAAATAAAACATTTAAAAAAATAAATAAATAAAGTAGGAGAACTTTTTAATCCCTGAAACAGAGCTTAAAAATCAGTTTTCAGCTAACCCTGAAGACAATGGTTTCTCCCACTATTTGTTAACATGTGAATCCATCTCTCACCCTTCTGTTGGAAAGTGGCCAGATGCCAAAGGTTTAAAACTGGAACACTGCTTTGTGTTTTTTCAATGTCTTCCCAAATAGCTGACAAAGGGTTCTTTGGTTAAATAAAGACAATCTAAGTTATTCACACTAAATTAGACAGTATAGTGATCTGATATGATCCTGTTGACTTTTTCCTTTTGTAATATACAATCTCCTCTAAAGGATCAGGTCAACACTCTGGACTACCAGAATGGCCAGCTGCTGCTCTACAGGCTACTCAGCACCAGGCAAATGTGCAAATGCTCCACTACCATGGGGGTCCAGCACCCAATCAAACTTGCCCATCAACAGCCCAGTGGGGTTCCACTCAGGAGCACAGCAGTGGATTTTTCCCCCCTTCCCACTCTGGACAACAGGTCCAACCTCTTGATGCCCAACCTCTGTGTCCTTTATTGATAGAACAGCCTTTCTGAGAATTAAGTTCATGAAGTGCTTAGACCAATACCCGGCTCACAGAAATCATCACCAAGTGTCAAGCTGTCATTGTTATCATTTGATGACCCTTTTGCTCCAGGGCATAGGAACCTCTTACTCACCCCATCCTGGCAGGCACACCCACCTGCATGCCAATGATGGCATAGATGAAGAACAGCATGGCGATGAGCAGACACACATAAGGCAGGGCCTGTGGAGACACGCAGGAGATGGGGCAGCTCCAGGGAGGGCTGAATAGCCACCTTGCTTGGGCCTTGTCTGCAGAGTGGATGGTGGCTGGGTCTCTGGAGCCACTCAGACCTCAGCTACTGCAGATCCACCCCCACTGACCATGAAGCCCCTCTACCAAGTTACCACCTCGGTTTCTTCATCTCTAATCAATCATAAAGCCCATCTCAGAGTCAGTGAGCATTATCAAACTCCCTGGACACCTTAAAATGTCTTTGTAAACTACCATATGGAGCTCCAAGAGGGGAGCTGCTCTGGCTGCAGGAGGAAGCGGTGGCCACACCACCGTGCATGACAAAGGGAAGGGGCAGGGCACTCGGCCGTGCCTGGGCTTCACCTTGAAGGACTGGACGAAGGTCCACAGCAGGATGCGGATCGTGTAGCCTTGGCGGAGCAGCTTGATGAGACGGGCAGCACGGAAGAGGCGTAGGAAGCTGAGGTTGATGAAGTTGTTCTGCAGGGAAGAGAGGCTGTTCTCTAACCTGTGGTAACCAGCCTCCTGCAAGTGCAGGCAAGTTGGTCCCCACCCACCTCTCCCTGACTTGCTGTGGTCCGAAGAAAAGTGGATACAAAGAGAGATTGAACAAAAAGTCACTGCTTTACAGTATAAGCAGCAATTGGCCCCCAGAAAACCTTCCAGAAGTAAAGCTTGTCATTGCAAATCACTTCTCATGCAGCAAATCAAAGAAACTCCTCTACTCTAGGCTCCCCTGGGCCTGACAAGGAGGGACAGAGAGAAAAGTTCTTAGAAGCAGCCCCTTGCTGCCAGGTGGAACCGGGAGACCAACTGTGGCTGGGCCTCTAACATCGACCACCTCTTGCAGGACACAGCCAAGCCATCCGAGTGCTGGGCAGAACTGCTTCTCCACTGAGAGCCTCTGAAGGGCCCCGTCCCAGGCTTGGTGGCAGGGCCCTCCTCTTCTCCACACAGTCAGTGAAGGCCCTGCCTGCCTGGGACCTGGCGGAGGGGCAAACATTTCCTCTGGGGCTGCTCTGGGTGCCTGCAGACAAGTCACCATAGGAAGTGTAAGTTTTGGTGACCTTGCTGCTCACACCATGGAAGCCACTTACAAACGGTCTCAGCTCCAGAGACGGCAGGATATCTAGCACTGCTCCCACATCCAAGGGGTTCAAAATCAAGCACCAAAAGAAACAATAATCTCTGGACACCACAGATTGCCTGGGAGTGAGGCTTCCACCCTGGCCCAGAGGCATCTCAAATTATTGGCACCTCCCTTTCAGGGAGCACGGCTCTGGGTGGTATCTGTGAGACGGGGGTACTTGTAGACCCAGGCTGCTTCCCACCCTCTGTCTGTTGAGAGAATAGGTGCCCACCCACAGCCTGAGAGCAGTTTCCTGCCACTTGGGTGTTGTAACGTGTGCAAGCAGCTCAGGCTTAGACATATTGTGTCACCAGATTCAGTGGTCAAATGAAGAGAAAAGAGAACACAGCATGTTGAATGAGAGCAGCAGCAGAAAAGCACATGCAGGAGGCATTGGGAGCCTGGGGAGAGCTGGCTGCCCTCCCTCCAGGACTGCCCATCTGGTCTTGGCTGGGATGAGGACCGGTCTCACTCCTAACTTCTATGGACAGTGGCCCCAACCCAGCCCTTGTCTGCTCCTTTGGTTTCCAACAGGGAGGCTGGAGACTATGAACTGTTTCTGCGAGGGCTGGAGATGGAACCCATGGGTGGGAGGTTTGGCAGTCGCAGGAGGTGCCGACTGTAGTCCAGATCAGCAAGAAGGCAGAAGTGGACGCCTGGAGTGTACACAAATTTTTTTGCGCATGCTCCCTCACCTGCTGTGTTGGGGAAAGAGAATCTCAGTGGTACAGGACGGCTGAGAAACATCCACGCTCGTTCCGTGGGCTCTTGAGCTCTCAAATGAGCCAGTAGCCTCAGGAGGATGGGCACAGGGATAGAAAGGGGACTTTGTCTACAGTGCCAGGAAATAAATCTTTTGTATGAGACAATAAAGCAGAGGAAGGGGAGGGGGCTTCCAAGTGCCTGGCGTCTCCTAAGGTCTCTACTTAGAAACCACCTGCTCAGTTGGGTCTGGAGGGGCCACGACTGTTAAAATATAGTCAGCACCTGCCCAGCCCAAAGCACTTTGCTCAGGCCATGGGCACAGATCAGAAGATGTCCTGAAGGTACTGGGAAACATATAGGCTTCTGGGTGAGAAAAAAAAGGGATGGAAGACAAACAAGGCAGGGGAAGGCATTATTCATCCAAATTACTTAATGCACAAATGCAAAGCTCAACAAGTCACTTACTATATATTGTTGAGACTCAAGTTCCCATCCCTCCTCCCAGACTTCTTTTCTCAGGGCTCCAGTGGGCACTCAGGAGAAGGGTGGGGGTGGCAACAGATAGCCCTGAGAGCCGTGAGGACGGATGGTGACAGCAGCCACAGACACTCCAAGCACAGCGTGACAGGCTGAGCACACTGTGGCCGCACCCAGGGCGGGAGCTGCCAGGAACCACCATGCAGACTGCATGCAGGAGATTGGGGGCAGCAAGCACACGGCAGTCTCCCCGTGGCTGTGCATAGTCACCTCTGGCCTCAGCCAACGCTTTGGAGACAGACCCAGTCTGTCCTATCCTCCCAGAGTCCATGGTTTCTGTCTCACCAGGGACAACCTACTACTTTACCTACTATTTCAAAGTCAGGCCCTTCCTTACTCTGCCTCTGCATCACAAAGGGTCTAGAGTACCCCCAAGAAGCATCATCGCATCCCTTCCTGTGGTAGCTGATTCACCTTTAGGGTGCACTGTTCCTAGCTCCTTGGAGTCCCTGCTTCCTCATTCACAAGATGGAGACATTAGGGCACTGTGCCTAGACAGTGAGGAATCACTGAGGAAAAGGATTTAGAAGTGCGCCGGGCACTGTGAAACATGGTCCCCACAAAAGGTGATTAATTGGTCCCAGACCCAGACTGGCATTCCCTGCACCCACCATCACTGCCTCCAGTCAGGGTCACAGCAAGTGACCTGTGCACATCAGCTGGGGGCCATACTCCACACTGGCAGCGAGGTGCAGCAAGGGTGCTCCCCTACTCATTTCTCATGGGGCAAAGACGAAAAAAAGAAAGGAGAGCCCTAGGTACCCAGCATGTGCGTGCACAGCATGTCAGGTGAGGCGTGTGCTCCGGAGGGAGAGGGAGAGCACAAAGGGGGTGCTCTTCGCATGCAGACAGGGCAGGGCTGCGAAGAGGCCTGAGTGAGTCGAAGCCCATGCAGAACACTTTGCTTGGGATTTCGGTGGCAGCTAACAGCATTTCTCAAAACTCAAGCTTTTCTGCTCCAACTGTGAAATAATTTATCACAAACAATGACTTTCTGTAATAGGAATCTCAAATATTTGCTATTTTGTATAAATTTTCACAGTCACGGCCTCAGCTTAGTCTACTCCTGGTATCCGCTCTCCTCCCAAATATCCCTAAAGGCCTGGGAGGAAGCCCAGTTGGTGCCGCCCGCACTCCACACAAGCTCCCTGACTGAGGACACACACTGACGAGGATCAGTGACGCCTGAATGCACAAGCCCCGTGCTCCACTGTGTCCTGGGGCAGACCCCCTCTTCCTACTCGGTCTGGCCTTACGCAACCCCTGTTGAATCATGAAGACAAAATCTCGAATCCCTTCTAGCCCTGAGACCCAGGGAGGATTCCTTATAGAAGGGCGTATCCGGGAAGAATGCTACAGGAGACATCATCAGAGGCCACTGGGGAGAGCCGACCATGTCTGTTTCTATGATGGGAACACAGCAGAAGGGAGACGCTGTGAGAGAAACCATGGACTCTTAGGATCAGGTCCAAACTCATGTCCTACAAAACTCCTCCAATTCTGAGTGAATCCCAACAGGAAAAACTGACGGCCACTTACCCACCTCAATCAAGAAGACCCTACCTGCTCTCTAGACCCAAGGCCAGTTCCTAAAATCAAACGGCTCCTGGGAGGGTTCTCAGGAGGCCCTGCTGGACCCCCAGAGCTGAGGAGAAGAGGCCAGAGGGAACGGGTACCGCCAGACTCTGACCACACCTCGGGAAGGCAGTGGCTGGGGGGGCCACAGGAAATGGAAGAAGAGCAAGAGCACAGCAAGCAAAGCAAGGATTTTAAGAACCGTTTAAAGTCATGAAACCAACCGTTTCCTATATGTGATGTTTTCATGGATGGATATTTGCGTATTATTTACAAATTGGGATGTTTGAGCGGCAGGTGCGCAACATACAGACGGAGACATGGTTTCGCGGTGTATGTTGGTTGGATGGCGTGAGTCAGCAGGTAGGTTAAGGTAAATCAAGAACAAAAACAGAAAACAAAAGAGAAAATGAGTCATCAACACAAGCAAAACCTCAAACCTTGAATACTTAACTGGAAAATTTTAGGATTTTAGTAAACTTTGCATATTTTGCTTAAAATGCATCAAATCAAAACATATTTTTGAAATCTGTAGGTTATGCAGACAGGGCGGCATTCATTTGCATTCCTGTTTGTAATGCAAATCCAAAGATGACTCACAGACACTTATTTTTTTATTTCCAGGCAAAGAAATCAATGTCAGTTTTATGCTTGCTTGGGAACGCTGTCTCTACATAACCCTGGTTAAGACTATTGTTCTGTTTTGATCGTTAAGGTGGAGGTGGGAACTGACACTCATATTTTTGCCTAAGGAAAAAAAAGTACATTCACAAAGTAACATATGAAGTGACTACAAATGAAAAAAAATAATAAAGACACCACTAATCCACACGACGGCTTCCTTTCATCTTTTCTCCTCTAGGCAGGACAGGGTGACAGACTGAGCTCTGAGAGCACTCGTGGTCAGGGCACAGTGCAGCTTCCAAGCCAAGTGGCTCCTCGGCTCTCCCCCCAGCCCTGCTGACACCAGGGGTTGCTGGGAGCGGCCGTGGAGGGCTTATTTGAAGTAAGACACAGGGCTACTCCAGCCACCTGCACTGCAGAAGGCGTACGTGGGCCTCTTCCGAGGGGGAGGCTTCCCCAGAAGACAACTAAGCATTGTGCTCTCTGCACGACTGGCATGCCCCACTCGTGATGCCCTCTCATCAGTCTGCCCTCTCTGCCAAGGACACATACGCATGAAGAAACCCCCAGCGCTGTGTCCTTGCAGTTGGGAGCCCAATGTTTGGATCCCTTTATCCAGGGAACAAAAATACGTGTGTCCAGGGAGGAGGCCAGCAGGGATTAGCAGGCAGCTTGCGCCTCCCAGACACCACACTGGCACAAACTATTTCTGGCTGAGAAACACTCGGGCAGTGCTGCAACACCAGCGGTTGGTAGGACATAACAACCTCCGTTTTTGTGTTAAAATGGGGACTCGAACTTTTGCCCAGATTATTAATTTTTCAAAACCATGAGCATATCACATATACAAAAGAATATGTATACACGTGTGTATATGCATTTTGAAGAAAAATAATAAAATATCCATATATTCATCATTCTTATTCAAAAGAACAAGAATGTCACCATTACCTTTGAAGCCCATCCCGTCTCCCTTTCTCCTGCCTGGATGTAGTTAACTACCCTTAATTCTTGTTAATAAGTGCTTTTCTTTACTGTCTTATCACAAACTCTTAAGATGTGTAATACCTGACTGTTCTTTTCTTTTTTAAAATATTTTTATGCTTATTTATTTCGGGGGGGGGGAAGGGCAGAGGGAGAAGAAGATGCAGAATAGGAAGCAGGCTCCAGGTTCTGAGCTAGCTGTCAGCACAGAGCCCGATGCAGGGCTCAAACCCACGAACCATGAGATCATAACCTGAGCCAAAGTTGGATGCTTCAGTCGACTGAGCCACCCAGGAGCCCCTATACTTGACTGTTCTTAACCTTTGTAATGGGACAATACTGTGCACAAGCTTTTTGGACCTGGACACACTTGTGGTCACAGTGAGCAAAGCCTGTTTGTGAGAAGTGCTCCTCTGGACATGGGGATCAGCCTCATACTCTTAGTGCATGTGGACTATGTTATTATACCATATCAACATATTCTGCTGCTACTGTGAACAATGTTGCCACAAACATGTGTGTGATAGTGTCCCCAGGTCACCTGCCCAGACACACTCTGGCATGTGTCCCTAAGAGAGAAGGTGCTGAGCTGCATGCATGCATATGTTCAACTCTCAGGGACTACCGCACCTTTCCAAAGAGGTTGCTCAACGGACACCCCCACAGTACTGTGCAGGTTCTGGATGCCCCACTTCCTTGCTAACCATTGGCATGGCTGGAATTCCTGTTTGACAAACTGGAGTGTGTGAATTGGTATCTCAATTGTCATTTCACTTTACATTTCTCTGATTACAGTTAAGCTTGAGCATCTTTTCCTGTGTTCATGGGCCATTTCTGTTTGTTTTTCTTAAGTGTTTTTTAACATTTAATTATTTTTGAGAGAGAGAGAGGAGAGACAGAGCTTGAGTGGGGAAGGGGCAGAGAGAGAGAGGGAGACACAGAATCCAAAGTAGGCTTCAGGCTCTGATCTGTCAGCACAGAGCCCAACATAGGGCTTGAACTCCCAAACCGCAAGATCATGACCTGAGCTGAAGTGGGACACTTAACTGACTAAGCCACCCTGGCACCCGTGGCCATTTCTGTTTCTTATTAAAATACCTTCAGCTCATTTTTTGATTTGGTCACTTTTGTTTTTCTTACTGATTCACAGAAGAGCCGTGCAAATTCTGGACACTAACCTTTGCTAGTGGTTTAGAAAACCTCTCTATCCTCCAGCCATGACTTTGTCATTAAATGTTGGCACATTGTAGAACTCAGCAGCTCATTCTTTTCTCTCCTTTATTGACCTCATTCAGTCTCATGGATCTGATACCATCTTATATGCTTATGATTCCCAATCTTATGACACTGGCATGAATCTCTCCTCCAAACTCCAGCCCATCTGTCCAACCTGCTGAGACAATTCCTTTGAGAAGGCCAACAGGCAACTCAAATCTAAGATGCACAAACTGCATCCTGACTGTCCAGAATAAACCTGTTCCACCCACAATATTTTCCATTCTCATTAATAACAGTCCATTTTCCAAGTGCTCAGACTTTGATGCCATCCTTGCCTCAACTTTCACACCCACATCTGGTCCATCTACAGCTCTACGGAAAAATACATCCGAGGAGCGCCTGGGGGGCTCAGTCAGTTAAGCATCTGATTTCGGCTCAAGTCATGATCTCATAGTTCGTGGGTTTGAGCCCTGCGTCAGGCCCTGTGCTGATGGCTCGGAGCCTGGAACCTGTTTCAGTTCTGTGTCTCCTTCTCTCTCTGCCCCTCTCCTGCTCATACTCTGTCTTGCTCTGTCTCTCAAAAATAAATAAATGTAAAAAACAAAACAAAACAACCATCCTGAATGACAGTGTCTCACCTTAGCGCAAACCCTTAGTCCCTCTGTCAGGCTCTCTGCAGTGGTGCTCAGTGGCACTCACCCCACAGGCCCAATACTCAATCATCAGCATCTACATCTTTTTTTCCTGAGAACTTCCCCACTCTTGCCAGCAGCCTTCAACCAGTGGCAGACAGCACTCGGTGAAAAATACCCCAGTCACTTACCACCTGATGGGTAACTGAGGCTCAGAGCTCCCCGTCAGGACCCACAATGCTAACTGACTTCAGAGCATCTTATACTGGCTGCCTCCCTTCCCTGGTCCACTCCATCACTCCCCGGGAATTCTTGGGGATTGCCTCCCAAATGAATGACTTGCACTCAATTCCTGTCCTGGGGTCCGTCTGGGATAACCCAAACTAAGACTCCCCTAAGTTGTCTAGCAGCTTCTGCCTGTGCCCTGCACTGTATTCTCAACAAAGCAGCCAGAGGTCTGGTCTGAAAAGCCAAATCATGTCACTCCTCTTCACAAAACCCTCCAAATCCTCCTATCTCACTCACAACATAAACCAAAATTTACTTCAACTGCAAGGCCTTCCCTGTCATCCATCTCCTCTGTCTACGCTGCTTCACCCCTTGCTCACGCTGCTCCCGTGGCAGCGCACCCACGCCTCCCTTGCGACTGCAGGCACAGGCTGGGTATACGGCTTGGTGTTGCTCCCCGATGTCCCCTGCTCAGCTTCCTCATAAACCCAGACATCTCTACTTGGAAGTCATCGTCTCAGTGACATCTTGTCTGGACACAGAGCCATCAAGGCCTGGAACCACACCCACCCTGCCATGTCTCCTGCTGCTTCTCCAGTGCCTATCATGATCTGATACCCATTTCTTTCACACGGGAACAAAGCTCCAGAAGAGCAGAGATTTTCATCTTTTGTCCCAGCACTTAGAATGCTTCTTAGCACATGACAGGCAATGCATAAATATTTGTAACAGAAAAATGAAGGAATGTGAGGCAAACATCCCCGGCCTGTTCATGGACTGTCCTTTCTTCTTCTGATAAGCAGAGACTCTTTATTTTAGAGGAAATTTTTTTTCAGTTATGGCTAGTGCTTCATGTATTTTGCTTAAGCCATCAGTCCTTATCCCAAGGTCTGTATTTTCTTCTAAAAATTTTAAAGTTTTCACTCTTATATTTAAGTATTTTCATCCATTTGAAATACATTTTTCTTTGTAAATGGTGTGAAGATCCAATTTCTGGTTTTCCTGATATTGATCATCATTATACTCACATCAATTGTTGAACGGTCTCCCCATTAAGTAACACGGTCATATATCAAGTTTTCATACACCAAGTGATTTTGATTCTAGACTTTTGATTCTGTCCATTGGCTTGTTTATTATCCCCAAGCCAGCACCATATTCTTAATGTAGCTTTATAAGTCGTCTTATCATCGGCATAACTGTACCCCTCCCCCACCGCCCAGCAGCATCTTCTGCGTCTTACATATCTTGAGTATTTGGGCGCCTTTGCTCTCTCTGATGAGTTTTAGAAGGAACTTGTCAATTTCCAAAACAAACAAAAAAATCACTGGTATTTTTACTGAAATTATATGAACCTAGAGATCAATTTGGACAAAATTATCTCTGAAATTGACACTACTTATTATTTAATGTGCAACAGAACACTATCTATTTAAGTCTTCTTTACTATCTTTCACTGAGGCTTAGCACTTTTCCATACACAGATCTTGTATATGTATGTTGTTAGGTTTACTGTCAAGACTGCTGATGCTGTAATGGCATTCAGTCAACTACTCACTCGGGTAATCTCAGCAACCATGCTAAACACTCTTTATCAGTGTTACATTTTTCCAGATTTCATCCATAGATAATAATGTTATCTGTGAATAATGACAGCTTTGCCTATTCCTAAATGTAGGTATTTGTCTAATACTTAGACATTTTATTTTTTTATTTTTGGTCTTATTCATTCAACAAGTGTATACTGAATACCTAAAGTGTCAATACTATTCTAAGTCCTGGAATATGGCAGTGAACCAAACAGGCAAAAACCTGTCTTCGTAGAGCTGACATTTTTTAATTTATTTAACTGACCAGGACCTGAAGTTCAATGTTTAAAAGAAGTAGTGCTTACAGGTATCATTGCCCTTCTCTGATTTTAAAGGGAATTCTTTCCAAATTTAACCATTATATGATGTTTGTGCAGGATTTTTTGGTAAATTCTCTTCATCAAGTCAATAATTCCTAGATTGCCAAAAATTTCTATCACAATTTGAGTTTTACTGTACCCAAGACAGAATCACATTAATATTGTACTTTGTTAATGTAAATTAGACTTTCTGATGTGCCTGTATCTACATTAATGTGTGGATTATGATCTTCCCTTATTATACTCCATTAAAAATGTTTAGTATCAAGATTGTACTAGTCTCATACAAATAGTTAGGGAATGTTCACTCTTTTTCTACTCACTGGAAGAATTTGTTTAGGATTGGAATGATCTGTCCTCATATTTTAGGTAGAAAACTAATCTATAAGACCACTATAATCAGTGGTATGAGCCATGTTAGGACATGGATCCCAAGGTAAAAGACAAATCGGTTATCACATCTCCTACTTCCTACTTCTGGTTGGCTTCCTTGAGTTTTAGAGATGGCGTTTACCACTAAGGAAATACTGCTGTGACCTATTTATCAAGTGACACAAAGCTACCAGGTTTGAGAGATTTCAGAGTGGGAGCGGGGTCTCCATGCTGCAGTGCCTGGAGCCCTATACCTTGGGCCATAGAACGCAACAGATTCCACAGTGTTGGGGTATCTGTGGTAGATAAAGACACTGCGTGGAGTCCCTGGAAAGCCTACATAGGAAAGCCAATGCAAAGACCTAGGATTCTGGAACAAGTCCATGTCATCTGCTGGAGACATTGCCAGTGAGAGGGTTACGCCTGGCTACTGGGCCCTGGCCCTGGTGGAGACTGCACCTGACCATGAAACAGCTGTATCTATGGTACCAAAGGTTCTCCTTACGAGTGTATGTTGCAGGCCCACCATCAATCCAGCATATGACAGAAGCACGATATCCAGGGCCAAACCCAAGCATGCCTAGAGGGCACAGTCATACTACAGGCGGCCCAGTGCCTCAGACCTCTCACCTTTGCTGCACCTCTGTCTTCCTCAGCTCACCGCTACCCCAGTGTATCATGGGATGATCACTAAAGCCAGGACAAAAAACTCCAACCTGATTTATGGAGCAGTTGGCTTGATAAATTGGTGCGGCCTTAGTAGTGCCCCACACAGACCCAACCTGGAGGGCAGTGGTGTGAAGCGTAGCTCTGGGCAGTGCCCTGGGAACCTACTCAGCCACAGCGTCTAGGGAGAAAGACGTTGCCTGTGGTATGGACTACGGGCCCTCTGGCAAGAGCTACGGCCTGGTCAGGATTCCAGAGGGAACAGAGCTTGGGGAAAGGCTGGATGGACCCGGGGAACAGATGTGACATGCGGGTCCTTTTACTACACAATCAGGTCTGCCACAGAGCATCCACGGCTGTAGGGGCACCAAAAACCAAGCCCTGAGATGATGTATCCAACAGGTAGCAGCCAGCCTCCATCCTCACCAGCCTCAGTGTTCATACAGTAGATCTATGAATAAAGTGACCGTGGTGACTGAGATGAAAGCTGTGCCTGAGCCAAACAGCTGGGCTCCCTCTCAGCAGAGTTGATCCAGCCCTGGCCTGAACAGCCAGCCTGCTATGAGCGGAAGTCAGCTAGGTCTTTACAGTGTGCCACACTTTAGGCTGTCAATCAGCCACTTGGTACTAAGTTGCTTACATGGGAATCCTTTCACCTGGAAGTGGCAGCGATTTATCTCAACTGGGATCACTCACATCCTGGGTGTGGGTTGGTCTTTCCTGACGGAATACCTTGGCCTGCACTAGTATCAGAGATTCATCTACATGGGATTCCACATAACATCAGCTCATGGTAAGCACAGGAGGTACAAAGGAGTACATGACTCAGGATCCACTGGCATATCATATTCAACCTCATTCAGGAGATGCCAACCTGATAAAACGTTGAAAAAGACTCTTAAAGGCACAGATTAAACGCTGGCTTGGTGCTATACCTCATGGGGTTGGGATGTTGTCCTTTAAGATGAACTAATGGCCAAGAGATGGCACTGGGTGCCCCACTGGTAAAATGCCCAGACCCAGGAAGCAAGGGATGAAGTCAGGGTGGCCCCTCTCAGTATCACTCCAGCTACTGAGGGCAGACTTAGTGCTCATCATCTCCCCAAGTTTAGGTATGGCAAATCTAGAGGTCCTGGCTCAAGGGGTAGGGAAAGTTTCCACTATGGAACACCAAGCTCATGTGGCCCCCTGTCACGTGGGCTCCTCATGCCTTAAGACCAGCAGGCAGAGCACAGTTTCCATACTGGCCAGGGTATTTGATGCAGATTATTCTTTTTTAAGTTTATGTATGTATTTATTTATTTATTTATTTATTTTTGAGAGGGAGGGAGAGAATGAAAAGGGAAGGGACAGAGAGAATCCCAAGGAGGCTCCAAGTTCCACACTGAGCCCAACTCAGGGATTGATCTCACAACCATGAGATCATGACCTGAGCAGAAATCAAGAATCTTGATTCTTAACCGAGTGAGCTGCCCAGGTGTCCTATATGCTGGTTATTGAGAAAGGAAGAGTTACCAGTACATAGGGGCAGGTAGAAGTCTATCTGGAAATCGGGGTGTTCACTGGGGCCTTTCTAGGTGCTTCTATGACCAGTCTTAACTATGACCGGACTACTATGACAGCTGGAACACAAGTATGGCAAGCAGGGGCTTGGGCTACAGTGGATGACAGTGTGGGCCACCTCATCAGGCCAGCAACCAGAGCAGCAGATGGCCCCCATTCAGTGGAACTCAAAAAGATCAGAGGAAGAATGAATTAATGAACATCAATTTAACTCAGATCAGCTCTAGCTGGTTACCACCCCTCTTCTCCCAGAGATGGTGACCAGCACCATCACGAAGAATGAGTGAAGTAAACCCAGGGTGAGGTGCGTACAGGGCCAGGGTGGCACAGCAGACATTTGTTACCACTGAGCGGGCACAGTGTGGCGCTGTTGCACTGGAATCTGATGTTCCTGTCCCCCAGCAGGTGCCAGAGCCTGCTTTGCCTACACACGGGGTGCACTTAGAAGCGCCAGAGGGGTCTGACAATTGACACCTCCCGCTGCAGCCCTTAGCTGAGCACTAACAGGTACACAGGAAGCTCGGAAGCGTGACTGCCCAGGTCTCCCAGCACCCGTGAGGGATGAAGCTAATTCACCCCCTGATACAGCGCTTCGGGCCCTCCTTGTCTTGCCCTCCCGTTCCCCCAGACTGCTCTCTGACGGTTTTGCCCGGGACCCCTTCCTAAGAAGTGGCTTGTACAAGCACCCCGTCTCAGGGTGCGCTCCTAGGGAATTCAGCGTAAGACACAGATGAGACTTTTTGCCATTTAATTCTAATGTAAAGAATTCTAACTTAAGTAAGATTCCTTTATGATTCAGATTCTTTGAAATTTGTTGAGACAAGTTTATATTCTAGTAGTACTTGGTCAGTTTTTACATATAATCCATGCATGTTTGATATGAATGAGATTGTCCAGTTTTATTTATACACACACATACAAACATGTAAAACAAACCTGGTATAAAATATTCTATATTCTTGCTGATCTTAGTTTATGTAATTTTGGTGCCGAGTTGTTAGATTCGTTAGACACACACAGATTTAAAAGACTCTTGGCTTCCTGGTCAGTTGTTGCCATGGAGCTCCCAGGTGACTCTCAGGCCACCAAACGGGAAGACCTTGTGGGAACCACTTTCTTATCCAAGAAAAAGCATTTGCCAAGACAGTCCCCAGTCCCCATCTCCACCTCTGGAGAGGATCCTCCTTCTTTCCAGGGGGTCCTGAGGAACTCTAGCAAGAGAAGAGGAGCTAATACTTAGGACCTCGAGACACACTGCGGGAGCACCACCTAGAAGGAAACCACGCTGGGGCCCTGGAGGAGGGACAGGGAACACTACTTACCGCAATCTCTGTTACTAAAATATCAGTAATACTTCCCAACACAGTGACAAAGTCAAAGACATTCCAGGCATCTCTGAAATAGTTCTAGAGAGGAAAAAAAAGAGCAATTACTGCTAGTGGCTGGTGAGGGTTCTGCCAGGCAAGGAGTTGCAGGAAGTGGCCTCTAATCAAGAAAGGGGCAAAGGGACAGATGGGCCACCCCAGGTGGGACACCACAGCCGGTTAAGTAAACACCTGTGGGCCTGGGCAGGTGCAGACTGAGAGCTGTGAGTCCAGGGAGGAGGAATCTGGCCCCACCTGTCTCCAGGGACTGGGCTGGGGGCAGAGCTCAGGCAGCTGAGAGCATTAAAGCAGCCCCTTCCTCAGGGCCCCTGCAAGGCCACATATACTCTGGCGGCTTGGGAGATTTCCAGCACCATACCGTAAGTCTCTGCAGGTCTCCCTACAGACAGGAAGCCAGAATGAAGACCACCAAGAGGCCAAGAGGGAGCCAAGGCACCTACCAGCACCCCAAAGGCGATGATCTTCAGCACGCATTCCATGGAGAACATGGATGTGAACACAATGTTCAGGCACTTCAACATTAGCTCGTATTCATAGGGTGCGTCATAGAACTGTGTGGGGAATGAGCACCATTAGTCACAGGTTCAGCTGCCCCAAGACACCCCACGAGGAATCACCCTGACCTTCTGTCAGAGTACTGCATGCAGAGACAACTGCATGCCTGCCCAGCGTAGAGACACCCCATCCTGCTCTCCCTGTCTTCTAGGACATTCTCGCCTTCTCAGCCCATGGGTATCCTAGGGGGCTGGGCATTCATAGGCATTCCATGCTGACCAGGACGTGGTCAACTGCAGCTACAGTTCTCTCGCACCCAGCTGGCACCCACTGCCCCCGGACTGGGCCCGCAGCACACCTTCATCATCAGCACCACTGTGTTGAGGGCAATCATGGCCATGATGAAGTACTCAAAGGGTGGAGAGACCACAAATGTCCACGTCTTGTACTGGAACGACTGCTTGTCCTGGGGCATGTACCGTGTCAGGGGTTTGGCGCTGATGGCAAAGTCAATGCAAGCCCTCTGCGTGGGAAGAAAGGAGCACTGAGAACTTGTTTGGTGAGAACCCCACGCGGTAGCACCCACTGCACCCCACGCCCGTCTCGTCCATCCTCGCAGGCAGCCCTGACTGATCACTCAGTCTCTCTCTGTCTTGTGCCGGCCTCCAGTGGTCCTGCCCACGCTGCCCATCAGGTGAGCCCAGCAGAGCACCCACTGCACATGTGCACATGCGGCAGAAGGGGGAGCCACCCACCTCGTTCTTCTCCAGGCTGCACTCAGACATCACCTTGTCACCCTGCTCCTGGAAGGTGATGATAATCAAGGCCACAAAGATATTGACGAAGAAGAAGGGGAAGACCACAAAATAGACCACGTAGAAGATGGATAGTTCCATGCGGTACCCAGGGCTTGGACCCTGCTCTTCATAGGTGGCGTCCACAGAGTGTTTCAGGACCCTGTTCCAAGAGCAAACACCAAGAGGCGGGGGAGCCCTGAGTACAGAACCATGGGGGAGTCTAGACCTGTATCACAGGTGAGGCTGCCATACCTGAGCCCCGAAATGGCAACAGGAAGGGAGGCTCAATGCGGCAGGGCAAAGCCTGCCCCCCACACCGGGACTATAATCTCCTGGAGGTGGGCTGCCTTATTGATAGGGGTTTGTACTCAGGACTGCTGGAGGGCCACCAGGTGCCTGAGGTCCTAACCCCAGGAGAGGTGGGGGCCCTGGAGTTCTGCCCTGCCCTGCTCACGCCCAGCTCACCGGCTCATACCCAGATTCACCTGCCTTTAGAAAGCCCTGGGCCGCCTGTCGGGGCATTGATCCTACCTTCTGAACAGTGGTCCTCCCTGTCATCCAGTGGTCCTCCCTGTCATCCAGTGTGGCACTGAACACATACATCCTCTGTCTACCCTTAACCGAGGCCAGAGGGGTAGCACAGGGAGATGCTGAATAGCCCCATGCTCCCTCTGATCTTTAGTCACTCAAAAATGGCTTTCAGGAAATCACTTTGCTGTGTGCTTTGGCTTAATCTCCTCCTCTTTCCAGGCTGCCCCACTCCTAGAAGGCAGAGCCATGTCTTACCTGGTAGATACAAGAGCCTATGGGGTATTCGCTGAGTAAAACACAAACAGATGCAAAGTATGGGCCTCCCTGTCTGAGCTGCCCCTCTGCTCTAGCCTGATCAACACACTGAACCATAGGAACACTCACATGGGCCACCCCTCTCCCGTGGACACTGTGAACAGTGTCAGCAGAGCCCAGAGCACGTTGTCATAGTGAAAATCATATTTCTTCCACTGCCGTGGTTGAGCTTCCACTTCTTCCTTCTCATAATCCAAATACTGACCCCTGGAAATGAGAACATAGAGGAGATTAGAGGTTAAAGACAAAGGATCCAGGGCTGCCCATCCAATGGAGGGACAATAGTCTTTTCAACAGAAGGTGCTGGGAAAACTGGGTATCCACTCACAAAAGAAAGAAGCTAGACCCCTACCTCATTCCATGTCCAAAATCCAACTAAAAATGGATCAAAGACCTAAGAGCTAACACTAGAAAACTGTTAGAAGAAAACACAAGGGAGCCTAGGATTTGGGAAGGGATTGCTAGGTGTGATACAAAAATCAGGAGCAATAAAAGAAAAAAAATGGATAAATTGGACCTCATCAAAATGTAAAGTTTTTGTGCTTCAAAGATATCATCAACACACAGAATGGGACCAAATATTTGAAAATCCTCTCTCTGACAAGACTTGAATGTAGAATATATAAAGAACTATTAAAATCAATTACAAAAAAAAACCCACCCAAATAACCCAATTAAAAATGGATAAAAGATCTGAATAGACATTTCTCCAAAAGAGATATACAAATGGCCAATAGGCACATGAAAAGATATTCAACATCATGAGTCATCAGGGAAATGCAAACGAAAACTACAATGACATATCACTTTATACCCACTAGGATGGCTATAATTAAATTTTTAAAAAGGAAAATAACAGGTGTTGGCAAGGATGTGGAGAAATCAGAGCTCTCCCACACTGCTGGTAGGAATATAAAATGGATTAGCCCCACTGGAAGTCTGTCAGTCCCGGAAACTGGTAAATAGATTTACCACATGACCCATCAATTCCACTTCAAGGTATATACTCAAAAGAAATGAGGGGTGCCTGGGTGGCTCAGTTGGTTAAGTGTCCAACTTCGGCTCAGGTCATGATCTAGCTGTCCATGGGTCTGAACCCTGTGTTGGGCTCTTGTGCTGACAGCTCAGAGCCTGGAGCCTACTTCTAATTCTGTGTCTCTCCCTCTCTCTGCTCCTCCCCCACTCATGCTCTGTCTCCCTCTCTCAAGAATAAACAAACATTAAATAAATAAATATATAAATAAAACATCTGTCCACACAAAAACTTTGTACACATGTTCATACCAGCATTAATCATAACGGCCAAAAGATGGAAACAACCCAAATGTTGGAAAGGAAAGAAATCAGACACCAAAGACCACATATTTATGATTCATTTACACGAAACATCCAGAACAGAGAAATCTAAAGAAACAAAAAAATAGATTCATGGTTGCTCAGGGTTGGAGATGGGGAGCCAGTGGGTAATACAGGGTATGGGGTTTTTTGTGTTGCTTTTTTTAACTTATGAAAATGTTCTGGGGGCGCCTGGGTGGTTTAGTCGGTTAAGCGTCCGACTTTCGCTTAGGTCATGATCTCGCGGTTCGTGGGTTCGTGCCCCGCGTCGGGCTCTGTGCTGATAGCCAGCTCAGTGCCTGGAGCCTGTTTCAGATTCTGTGTCTCCCTCTCTCTCTGACCCTCCCCTGCTTACCCTGTCTCTCTCTCTCTCTCAGAAATAAATTTAAAAATAAATAAATAAACTAAATTATACACTTTCAATGGATGATTCATCAGAATTGTTATCTCAATAAAATCAAAGGATATCACTGAGTAGGGAAAAGATGGTCTTTTGAGATAAACGGTGCTGGGTCAACTGGATATCCACCTACAGAAAAATTTATTTTTATCCATACCTCACCTAACACACAAAAATCAACTCCAAATAGATCACACATCTCAAACTGAAAGGCAAAACTAAAACTTTTAGAGGAAAACATAACAGGACATTTCCCTGACCTTTGTACAGATTTTCTGAAAAGGATACAAAGAGAACTAAACATAATTTGTTTTTTTTTTAAATTTTACTCTTTTATTTTTTAAATGTTTACTTCTTTTGAGAGAGAGAGCAAGTGCATGCACACACACACACGTGTGTGAGCAGGTCAGGGGCAGAGAGAGAGAGGGAGAGAATCTTAAGCAGGCTCTGCACTGTCAACATAGAGCCCAATGCGGGGCTTGACCCCACGAACCATGAGATCGTGACCTGAGTTAAAATCAAGTCAGACACCAGCCTTTACCAATCCTTATTGCACCCCAACAGATAGAGTTAGCAGTTCTTTCCCCTCCCAACCCCCCAAATTACTGGTATCTGCTTATATTTCTCCCTTCTATACTGGAGTTCCCTCCTCTTGGGCATTAAACAGTTAACTTTAACTTAATCACTTGTATCTAGCACACTCTCTCAGAGAAAGAAGTACTGAGACCATTTGCTAGGATTCCATAGTCAGCATATCAAGTTAATCACTGGATTGGATGAACCCTATTTTGCAACATAAAAGTCTTATCTACTCTATCATTACAATTTGTCTTCACATTAAAAAAAAAAAAATCAGGTCAGACACTTAACTAACTGAGCCACCTAGGTGTCCCTAAGACCTTGTTTTTTAAAAAGACATAATCCATAGATCTGGCAATGAATGCCTATCCAGGACTTTACAAAATTCTTACAAATCAATCAGAAAGTGAAAGACATCCCATACGGGAAAACAGGCAGACGCTTGCGTAGACCCTTACCAGGGATACCCGAGTGCTCAATCACCTGGGGAGGTGCCCAGTGCAAATTAAACCACTGAGAAATGCTACCAGCCCAACATCAGAAAGGCTACAGAGCCAAAGATGGAAAACACCAAGTATTCCCACAGTGTGCAATATTGGAGCTCTCAACCGTGTGGCGGGAGTGCAATTTTACACACGGATTTGGCACCACCTGCAGAAGCTGAACGTAAACACAGTGCGCCACCCTGCAGTCTCACTCCCTGGCGTGCACACCTCCTGGAACTGCATGCGTGTGCTTCCCAGCAGACACATACTGGGACAGTCACAGCAGCACTTCTCACATGAGCCTCAGACTGGAAACGTCCCCATGCCCATCAGTCACAGAGTGGGTAAGTACGTGGTGGTGCACTCACACGAGAGAATATTACACTAACAGAGGCAGCTGGGTCATCGCCTTCGGCTGGAGAAGGAGCCGCCCACACTGCCCTGCTCAGCACCCACACTGGCACCCACCTCCATTTCCCCTAGTTTTTCCCTGAGGGCATCTTTCCTTTTTGCTCTGGAGTGGGGCCTGGTCCAGAAAGACCTGAGGCCTCATAGTGATGGTGAAAGCAGGTCCAGGCATAGGGAAGCCCTTCTGATCCTAGAGTCTAGCCTAGAGCTCCAAGACTTGAATAGCCCTCCAGCAACACCCCAGTGATTACCCACCCCCCCCCACCATGTGTTCCCTGATGTCTATGGGCAGGAAGAGCGTGTCCCTCAGAAGTGGCTGGTCCCCGACTCTGCTGAGAAAAATGAGCCAGGAGTCCCAGTGTGGCCCTGGGGACAGAGGCACATCCCCAGCTCTCTGGTGGACCCCAAGCAGGCTCCTCCCAGAGCCCCCACTCCCAGCCCTGCCTGAGCTTACCGGCAGTCCCTCTCCAGCCCCTTGGACTCATCCGTGCAGTAGAAAAACTTCCCTTTGAAGAGCTGCACCGCAATGACAGCAAATATGAACATGAAGAGCATATAGACAACCAGGATGTTGAGGACGTTCTTCAGAGAGTTCACCACACAGTCAAACACAGCCTGGAGGGGAAGAGAGCTCAGCTCAGAACCTCCGGGCCTCCCAGTACCCGAGGACCCTCGAAGCCGTAATCGTGGAGGGGCCTGCTGCCCGCTGGCTTAACACAGGAAGCTGCCTGCCACCGCCTCTCCCAGGACGTGATGAGTGGGCAGGAGGTGGTGGGACAGGTGGTGTGGGCGGGCGGGCTGGCCCATGATGGGAACCTGGTGCTAGAAGTCTGGGTCAGGCTACGTAAGTGAGGACGGCCTGGAGCCCAGGCCGACCTGCATCAGGAGTGTCCGACACGGAGGTGCGAAGAGTGTGGACAGGGATATGGCCAGCCCCTGCTCCTGCACCTGGCCTGCTAGTGGGCCACACTGCCCCTGCTTACCAGCGGCAACCAATATAGGGCAGAAAGGCAACAGTGCTGTGGCTAGCTCCAAGACAGGGACTTCTGGCACGTTTCAGAATAGACCAGAGGTGACTCTGTCGTCTGTCACCACCACTGCCTGGGCTTTTTCTCAGATTCTTCCCCACCCAGAAGCTCAGCTTTCCCTGAATGCCCAGTACTGCTGACCCTGGCCCCGGTCCCTATGTCTCAGAGCTGAGGAGATTCCCCCCATCTTGCTCTGGCTGTGCAAAAAGGCAGACCCACAACCATCTCCCAAGACACTGCCTGGAACAGTCTAGACACCAGCAGCTGCCTCAGCAAATGCAGCCACTGTCCACTTGCATGGTGTCCATGACACCCCTGACCCGCCAGCCCAGGTCCAAGCCCCTGCATGGCACACAGGGCCTCTGGCCATCTTCAAGCCACCCCCCAGCCGACCCCTTCACAAGCAAACTTTCTTCTGCAACCCCCACACTGCTTCATGCCTGCAAGGCTGACATCTGCATGCTGCTCACAATACTGCACTACACAGTTCTGTGGGATTAAATGAGTTTAAGCATCCAAAGCACTCTTCACAGTGAGAAACAAGCTCAGTAATCATATTTTCACACAACTCTCCAAGTGTTTCGGGTCCATACTCTTTCCTTTATCCAGAACATCAGCCACACCCATCCTCAGGGCCCAGCCCCATAACCATTTCTCAGGAGCCTCCACCTCCCTGCATGTCCCCCTGGGCCCTCCACTTCTCTCTACTGTGGGTGCGCCGGGTTGAGGAAGAAGAGCCTTCCAGAACACTAGTGAGACTAAGTGTTCCTTGGGGGAGGGTCACAGAGCTGAGGGAGCCTGACCTGTTCACACAATGCACCAGTAGGGGTCCTCCCTCAGCTTTCTCTTCCCACCCCATGTGGGAAGCTGCAGCCAGACAGGGTTAGTTACATGTACACATGTGCACTCACACATTCGTGCACACTGCATACATAGAACACACACGTGCACACATGCATACCACACGTGTGTGCATACCTACATGCAATGCAACCTTGTACACACACATGCACTCACATCTGTGCACTGTGTGCGCACACACACAAGCATAACTACATGAACATATGTGCATATAGGCCTACACTCACGAGTACATGCACATCCACACATACACGTATACACAGCCCTGCACACTCCTCAAGCCCCAAATCCACAGTCTCACCTTGAGCTTAGGCAGCCGTTTTATGGTCTTGAGGGGCCTCAGGACGCGCAGGACTCTCAAGGACTTGATGGTGTTGATGTCTTTCCCTTTGGATCCTCTAGAAGGGAGAAGCCACACATGCAGACAGGCAGGATGCACACTCATGCTCAGATTCCACAAAGCCTATTGGGGTCTGGGTTAGGCTCCCCTGAGCACTTTGTCTCAGGCCCCAGGGCAGACACTTGGGAGCAGCAAGGCCTCTGCATCTCCTACAGGTTGCATGGCAGAGGCCTCATCTAAGCAGACAAGGGCCAGGGCCGAGTCAGCAGTACCTGGTTTAAGGGTTTCCAGGAGGGAAGAAGCCATTCTTCCATACCACGTCGTCTATTTCTACCCCAGCACTTCCCTAATATCCGCCCCAAACCAGCTTCATCTGGCCACCATGCTAAGACCGGCAATGGAAACAAAGAGATAGATGGGGGCTGGCCCCAGGACTGCGGATCTAGCCTGGCGCCAGCACAGGAAAGCCTACAGCCATTAGTGCAAGAGCCTTCTGGAAGGGCTGCTCTTCTGTGTCCTGGTATAGGGAGGTAGGGAGGAACATGTCTAGATCTCCCTGTCTATACTCTCTCAGCTGCCCCCACACTCCTCCAGATGATGTAAAACTGACAGAAAGGGGGGAGGAGAAGAGGGATGACAGGTGTGCTGGGAGGGAAGGAGGGAAGGAGAGAGTAAGAAAGGGAAAACGTTAGGTGAATACAGAGATGATGCAAGGGACAATGCAATGCAAGGAGTGGACAAAGAAAGAAAGAAATATTAAAGGGAAGAGAAAGAAACAGACAGAGAGGGAGGGAGAAAGAGCCACAGAGAGACAAAGAGAGCAGCAGACAAGAAAACCCAGACTGGGGGAGTGGGAGGTGTAAGACAAGAAGTCAGGTAAAGAAAATTCCAGGCACCAGATGCAAGCTTGGAAATCCAAGACCTTGTGAGCCCCGATCAGGAGCTGTCACAGAGGAAGCCAGAGAAGACCCAGCTGGCTCCCTCATGCTGTCAGGGGCCCAGAAACTGTCAGACTTTGGGGGCTGGCCCTCCTACCAACTGAAAGCCAGGGCTGGCATGGTGGGGGCGAGGGTCCCAAGTGGCCTTCACAGACTTCCTAAGGAGGCAATTCTTAGAAGCACACCCCGCCCTCAACAGTGGCTGAGGACTCAGGGCGGGGGGCCCTATTCCATCCTGCTCAGAGGCCACTTCCCTCCAGGCTCCCAAGGAGCCTGCACACAAAGAGAGGGGGCAGGGCTGCCAGTGGTCTTCTCTGGACTCCAGCCAAGCTCCAGGGAAAGTGAACTATGAGGCCCAGGCAGGATCTACAGGTTATATCTCTCCCAAGACCCAGCTAGGGCCTAGAGTCCAGAACCAGATCAAACTCTCTCTGAAACACCAAGCTTCCAGATGGGAAAAACCCACCCTCCAGACCACCATGTCAGGTGTTTCTATACCCCAGCGTTCCGGACACCCAACCCCAAACCGGATCCCTCCAGCAGCCCTGCTGAGACCAGCACAGAGAGAACAAGGGGCAGGGCGGGTGGGCAGACACTGAGGGAGGCAGAAAGGAGGGACGCCTGCTTTGGTTTTCTGGGGTAGGGCTCTCTGCAGGGGCGGTCCTCGGGGTGTTCTGTTTCTCTCCTGCCAGCTCAGAGCCTTTGTTTTGCTCTGAGGCCACCAAGCTGGATTGTACCCCTTCCCCTGTCTCACTCCCAAGCTCCTCACTGACACTTTATATACAAAGAAGGCCGGTTAAGACCCCCAGAGAGGCAGCTGTGGCGAGCAGAGAGGAGAGAAAGCCCTGTTTCTGGAGAAGAGAGGTGGGAAGGGATCACAGGATGCCCAACATCCTGGTGGCCATGGTTACAGCGGCCCCTCCTGAGCCCTCACTGCCCTCAGGGCCCATGTCCCCAATCTCCAGAACTCACTTGGGGCACCTCCCCACCAAGGACTGGCCATGCCAAGCCCCAGCCCCAGCTCCCAGCCCAGCCCCCGGAAGTGAGGCAGGAACACGTGGCGTGGGGACATGGCTCCTGGCAGCATGCATCCGGGACAGTGGAGGAAGATGAGCGCAGGTGAGGCATGGTGGTGAACCGGCCCACAGGGGGCCATGTTGTGCTATGATGTGGGGCAGGACGGGGCAGAGGGAAGGCATTACCCCATGAAGCTCCTACCGAGAGTCCAGCAAGAAGGAGACAAAGAGAAGAGAGTCAGTGAGGAGGCCTGGCCCTCCCCAAGGGCTCAGAGAAGATGAAGACACCGTCCCTCAGTGTCTGCATCCACTGGGGATCTTCCTGATCTCTGGATTTCCTCTACAGCCCCACCCAAGCCCCTCACACTTGTCCCATGCCCACCACCATGCAAGGTCTGAGCCAATCCAGGCCCAGCCACAACAGGGCTGAGTGTTGCCTGCTACGGAGCTAGAGAAAGTGGTCTAACGCTCCAATGGAGAAAGACACGCACCAGCACAGCCCAGCTCTGGCTGAATAAGTGGTGCAGCTGAGGTCAGGACAGGTTGTTGTTCTGAAGGGCCCGACAGGTAGGCACCAAATAACCCAGAAGACCGCCCACACAATTTCAGAACCACGAGCTGTGGCAGGTCCAAGTGGGCCTTAAGACCCTCTCAACCCCACACAGCCCAGCCCCAAGTAGACAGGAGCTACAGACAGCCCGGGCAGGCCAGTGGGCCACCCCTTCCCTTACTCCCACACGCATTACGGCTCAGGGGACTGCAGCCCAGCCAGACCCAGAGCAGACACAGTACCCAGGTACTTACGAGAAGGCAAATGCCACCAAGGCCCCACTGACCACGATGAAGTCCAGAATATTCCACAGGTCCCGGAAATAGGCCCCAGGGTGCAGCAGCAGTCCCAAATCAATCATCTTCAGAGGAGAAACACATATTAGGTACACAAGATTTAAAAAAAAATTTTTTTGTGTTTTATTTATTTCTGAGAGAGAGAGAGAGAGAAAAAAACAGCATGAACAGGGGAGAGTCAGAGAGAGAGGGAGACACAGAATCTGAAGCAGGCTCCAGGCTCTGAGCTAGTTGTCAGCACAGAGCCTGACGCGGGGCTCAAACCCACGAACCGTGAGATCATGACCTGAGCCGAGGTCAGACGCTTAACCGACTGAGCCACCCAGGTGCCCCAAGGTACACAAGATTTTAGAAAGAAAACCAGGGCCAGGCCCCCGAGTCATGGATTTGGGGAAAAGATTCTACTCAGGGTACACCCTCTGAGGCCCTCAGTGGGCCTTTCAACCTCGGTGCCATTGATTGAAATATCCCTCATTGGTAATGACTGGCTGAGATCTTGCCTGGGTCCCCAACCCCCTTGGAGCCTGAAAATGAGACCCCTCGCTCCCGCATCACTGGGCTGCAGGAATACACAGCCCCAGGATCTCCTGCCCAGACTCTCAGAGGGTCAGCTCTGTAGCAGGAGAAAGGACTGGTGGGGTTCACAAGGACCTGGCTCTGCCCCTCCTAGAGTTGTGATTTCCAGCAAGCGCCTTAATATCTCTAAGCCTTAGCTTCCGTGTCTATAAAATAGGATGACAAAAAAAAAAAAAAAAATGCTTCCCCCGCCCCAGGAATTTACAATAGGAAGTGAAGAAGCAGAGGTGATATACAGATGGACACACACACGGAAGTCACCAAGTTATTGGCACACCCGAAGCTGCACTGTAGTCAAAGATTGCATATGTGTGTGCATGCAGCTGTGTTGCACCGCCACCTGTCAGACACTTAAAAAGGAGCAGTGCCTGTCAATACTTAGAGACAGAAATAATCATAATGAAATGGTCAGTCTTTAATCGAACATCGAACACTTGAGCTCTTTTATTTTATTTATTTATTTACTTTTTATTTATTTATTTATTATTTTTTTAACATTTTTTATTTATTTCTGAGAGAGAAAGACAGCATAAGAAGGGGAGGGTCAGAGAGGGAGGGAGACACAGAATCTGAAACAGGCTCCAGGCTCTGAGCTGTCAGCACAGAGCCCAATGCGGGGCTTGAACCCACGAACCGCGAAATCATGACCTGAGCCAAAGTCGGCCGCCCAACTGACTAAGCCACCCAGGTGCCCCTATTTATTTTTTTGAGAGACAACATGTGCACACTCAAGCAAGCAGAGTAGGAGCAGAGGAAGAGGGAGAGAAAATCTTATGGATGAAGATGTAGGGCTCCATCTCATAACCACGAGATCATGACCTGAGCTGGAGTCAGGTGTCAGACGCTTAGCTGACTGAGCCACCCCAGCGCCCCCTGAGTTCTTTTACACGAGTCTTCAGCACTCACTTACCGTGACGTTCGGGTGCTGAGGCCTCCACCCTCTCCCCAGGCTTCCCTTCTTCCCAGCCTGATGTCATGGGCCTTCCTCCTCTGCTATCAGGAGGCAACCCCGAGGGGGAGGTTGAGCCCACGCTCACGGAAGCCTGTAGCCCTTGCTTAGCAGTGAGGTGGAGACAGGGATGGTGTTGGTGAGCTCTCCCAAAGCTGGGATAATGTGGTGACTCTTTCATGAACTGGCCTCTGCCCTCCGCAACACACGTCACCACACACCTGTGCATGCGCTCTCTCACTGAGCATACACCCAGGGCACACCCACCACATGCCCTCATCAGAGGCCACAGGGGCCCCGTGGCATCTCAGTCATAGGGGAGGATGAGCAAAGCCCTGGAGCCACCAGGGCAACCACACATCTCACCTTTATCACCATCTCAAAGGTAAAGACGCCTGTGAAAATGTAGTCCATGTATTTCAGAGCCTAGAAACAGCAGGAAGGTTATTGTCAAAGGCTAGGCTGAAATCTTGAGCTGAGACTATTTCAGGGTGAACACGTTTTCCCTCCAGGCCTCTGAGCAAGACACCTCCTTGGCCAGGGGGGCTGTGGGCCACTGTCATGGGAGGAATCCCAGCTGGCAACAGCACTGGCCCTGGGCATATCCTCACTATTCCTGTCTATAACTTGGGGCTGGACCAGGAGGTGCCCCCAGACCTTCATCCCCACACCCCTAGAGGGAGCAGACAGGACTCTGGCACCTCCCAGTCCCTCCACAGCCTGAATGAGGTGCTCACATTGTTCCTGGGTGAGTCTGTCCGCACAGGATCCTCAGCTGCCAGGGCAATGCTGCTCAGGGCAATGACCACGAGGATGACCATCTCAAAGTACCGCATGGTCACGATGTAATGGCAGAAGCGGCGGAGCCTGTGGGGCAAAGCACAGATCACCCGGGACCCACATGTGGGCTGGGCTGCCCCTCCCCCCCCACCTCTCCACCCAATCCCACCCACTCCACCCCTGCACCAGAGCACATGCTTGGCCTTTCCCTGCAAGAAAGTGTTATACCAGAACCAAGCTGTACTAAGTATCTCTGGATTGGGAGACAGCAGCCAGCTTATTGATGGTGACTCAGACTCTTGAGAGGGTGTCTCAGGAAGAGGGGTGGGAAGGCAGGGGCCAGCAAATTATAGTTCACAGGCCTGTGTGTGTCCATAAAGTTCTGTGAGAGCACAGCCACACCCACTCATTTACTTCTGCGTGTGGACAGCCGTGCCCTGTACTGATTTACAGGCCTGCTGTACGTGGCATGGAGGGGTTGCTCAGAGAGGAGGAGGTTGAACACCAGCACTCCTATGGACAGCAGGCCTCTCTGGAGAGCCCAGGAAGCTTCTCTAGGTCCATGCTGGTCTGTATCTGTCTGAGCCCCCAGAGCTGCATGCACACACCTGTACTTAGTCCCTTGTCCACCTTCAGCACTAGTCAGCATCACTGACCACTATTCTGCTGTGTGGAGGCACGTGCCAGACAGGAGGGGTGCCGTGGTGAACAAGGGCACCAGAGTACAGTGTAGACATAACCCAACAGGAGACTCCCAGATGCTGACAGGTGCTAGAACACAGCAGTAGATGGTGACCCAGCAGGTCTGGGAAGACCTCTATGAGGGCAGTGAAGGTGACAAGGAGGAGCAGTCACAGAACCGTTGTACAGGGCAGACATGTGTCCCAACTCTGGGCTCTGCCCCTCCCTCTTACCACCACTTCCCTATTCCCAGGGCCTTGGGTCTGAAGGAGCTCCCACCTCCGGGCCACACCCACCCACTTCTCTCTGCCTTGAAGGGCCTACTATGCTCTTTTCCTCTTCACCACAGCCATTGCCACACTCTGGCCCCCACACCCACCAGAGCCGCTCTTCCCATGGCCATGCCTCCCTCTGCACGTACACACCTTTCTTCCCAGCTCCAGGATGCTCCATCTCTGCCTCTTTCCTTCTGCATCTCAGGGTTGAGTATCCACCTTGAGCTCCACCCCTAGCATCTGCCCCTGAACTCACCTGGCCTTGAGATGTCCACCAGCCACCCCAGCTCTGCAGGGTCTGCGCTCGCCTCCCTAGCTTGGTGGGGCCCCAGCCATCAGGCGGAAACTCTGGGTGTCATCCCTGACATCCCCTTCTCCTTCCACATCTAATTTATCGTCAAGTTCCACTGATTCTGTTTCCAAAATTTCTCCCCAAGCATTTCACTCCCAAACCTCCACACATAACATCAGATCTTGTCCATCTTTTCCAGAAAACCCTGACCACCTAGTAAATGGTGTCCAAGGACTCTGCTGACATGCAGCCTGTATTGCAAATGACCCCCAGCTGCCTCTCCACGCTTCTCGGTGCTCTGAGGGCAAATCACAGCCTCTTCATAGGACACAAAACAGCTGGCTGGCCTCTGTGCTTTTCCACTCGGTCCTGTCTTCAGCTGTTCTGCACCTGACGCCCTCACTAGACCATTATGATTTCTCTACTCTCCACAACGAATGCTTGTTCCTCTCTCTTCACCTTAGCTCTCATCCACCCTTCAGGATTCAACTAAGATCCCTACTTCCTCCAGAAAGGCCCCCTGACATTCCCCAGCTGCTCCCAGATGTTACCTGTCCCCTCCTGCACCACACAGCAGTGTTCACAGGCAAGGCCACATTCTCTAACAGAGCAGAGCAAGCTCCCAGGAAATGTGTGTTGAATGAAGGCATGGAGAAAGGGATGGAGGATGGAAAATGGAGACTGAATGGAGAGACTGCAGGCTGGAGGGATGGGGACAGAGGACGAAGCCTGACTCAACCAGATCTGGCTGCTTTCTGGCCTCCCTGCTCCAACACGCTGGCTTTTAAGTGCTTCCACTTTTGCTCTATCTATTGACTCTACCAGGGATGGTCTCCTTCCCCCTCCTCACCATTGTTGCCTCCCACTGAGACCAAACATGACCTTCCTGTCTTCACTTAGCTTATTAAGGACAGGGATCCTTGTTTGTTCTGCTCATTACCATGCATTCCCAGCACCTAAAATGCTGTTAGTATGTAAATATTGGTTGACCTAATGCAGCAGTTGGGCTGATGAGTGGATGAGAAATGCTGGTGACTTCGTGATAAGCCGAGAAGAGAGAAATGGGCAGATATGTGAGTGAATGTGGTGCGCACACACATGCATGCATGCACAGTGGGCATGATGGAAAGGTGGACAAATGGAAGTGTGCATACATGATGGACCATGAATTAGGTGCACGTGTGTGGCAATGAACCCTCGCCACAGTGGGGGTTAACAGCAAGGCTCTGGGACTGACTAACTAGGTTTAAACCCTAGTTCTACCATTAGGGCTGACTGGCTGTGTGTCTGTGGACAAGCCATGGACCTTCCCTGTGGCTTTGTGTTCTCCTCTGTAGGGTGAGGTAAGAGAAGTATGTCCTTGCAGACTGCTGTGATGCTCAGGACATTAGAACATGCAAAGTACACGGAATCAGTTGGTCTGCCGGGTCATGTCAGCACACCCTGCTACCATGCACTTGGATCATGGTCACAGACATGGGACAGGCACACAGCATGGGCAGGTGAAGGAGACTCACAGGTTGGTGGGGCTTAAACAGAACATGGAGCTGTATGGGACGATAGGTCGGGGGCCACTCCTCATCACGTCATCAGCTTCTACCTCCTTCTTCCCCTCAGCTTGGCTTTCCAGGTCCACGTTACCACCTACAAGGATACAGGGCCACCGAGTTAGAGGTGTGGCACACGAGGAGCCCACATCACACAGGGCCACCGAGTTAGAGGTGTGGTACATGTGAAGCCCACATCACACAGGACTCACCCAGACGACAGATGCGGTCCCGTCCCCAACCATACAGGTCTGCAGGGATCCAGCCAGGGAAGGGTGTGTGGCTAAGAACACAGCTTCACATGAGACTCCCTCCAGTCACAGTCAGATCACAACTGAGAACTGAGACATCACTGAAGACCCTCCTCATTTCTTGCTGTACTAGGGTCAGCACTGTGCCCTTGGCTGTGGACACCTCTGCCTCCACCAGGGGCCATTGGTCTAGATGTTCTACGAACACCAAAGTCCACACTGGCCCCAGAGACCAGGACCGGTAGGCTCCCCTCCCCGGTTCTGAGCTCAGTGCCTCCCTGAGGAAAGGTGAGAATGCCCCACTGCCTCTGCAGGCATCTCGGGCCAGGAGGGCGGGGAGGAGCAGTCCTGGACACGGATGCCCTCCCGAACATGGTGGTCCCGCCAGACCCTGCCAGGGATTCTGCCTTTAGGGCCCTGGCAAATACCCACAGAGCCAGGGCAGTAACCCAGGGAGGACCTGAGTACAGCATACATCTCGCATGGGTTCTGCCCCCCACTTCTTACACCCTGCCCCTCAGCCCCATCCTTTGCTTTCCCACTAATCAAATTACCTGGGGTTAAAATGGCCATGACCCTGTTTTTGTTAAATTGATTTTGTTGTCTGTACATAGTATTTTTCTCACAGTGACTTTTCATTTTTAACTTTCCTGAAGTATGTTTCCATTCTCATGATAACAGAGTACCTGAGACCCCAGGGGCAGTAGGGCAGTGCAGTGACCTGGAGCTAATGCCTATTGGCATACCCCATTTTTACTTCTTACAAGACACATAAAAGCAGAGGTTGTTAAAGGGTAGCGAAAATGAGGGTGGCTATGCCCAGGGCCTGTGTGGCCACTAGTCCTGCAGAAGACAGCGGGGCCAGAGAAAAGTCCTGGCTACACGCGGAAGAGCCCGGGCAGCAGCAGCAGCTGTCAATCCACCAAACTCCTGGCTGATGGCATAATTATATAATCTTCTCAGAAAGCAATTTGGCAATAAAGTCCTAAAAAATTCTATTTATTGATTTAATCTGTAAGACATTATCTTCTAAGGAAATCAAACAAGCACACAAGTCTGTATTCACAAAGGTGTTTGTGTTAAGTTCTTCTACAAAACCAAAAAATCATAAAATGTACAGCTATAGGAGGAAGATTATGTATTTGAATCATCTTACTACAGATATTAAAAATGTCTACAAATAGTTTCCATGAGAAAAGAAGCTAATGATATCATAAGTTTAAAAAAAGGCTATATACTTGCATATCCAAGATGTACTCAACTCCAAAAAAATAATGTGTATGGGAAGAGAAATAACACGAAAATAATAATAATACTAGTAATAGCAATAGTAATCTCTTAATGGCTGACAGGAATTTTAATTCTCTTCACTATACTTATAACAATTAAAAATTGTTTCCATGATGAGCATAGATTACTTTTAAATTAAGAAACATTTATGATTTTAAAACCACAGCATTTCAGACTCTTGCACAGTTAACAGTAAGGCAGGACCGATATAGACTCAATGAGGAATTCTACTGCTCGAAAGGAGTAGAACAAAGATGCTAGACCCTGGATGGAAATACTCCTCCTGAAATAGATTTACAGCAACAACAAAAGTCATCACTTAAGTAAAAGCAGACCAGGAAAAAAGGAGAGGATCAAAATGAAACTGCTGCAGACTAAGTAAACTCATTGTTAGAAGTTAGGGAAAAAAAAAAAAAAAACTTGACAGTAACAAAAGTTTAATCACAGAACAGGATACTTCACCAAGCAAAATGGCCAGATACAGAGCAAAGGATAAAGAAAGGAAGAGAACATTTGCGAAAAACAACCATGTGCCGGACATCATCCAAGTGCTCTGTATGATCCAACAGCACTCACTGCATGCATTATTACCTCCATTTTCTTTCTTTCTTTTTTTTTTTTTTTTTAATTTCTTTATCTAGAGAGAGAGAGAGAGAGAGAGAGAGCGAGAGCGAGAGAGCGCGCAGGGGAAAGGCAGAGAGAGAAAGAAAATCCCAAGGAGGCTCTGCACGGCCAGCACAGAGCCCGAACCAGGGCCCAAACCCACGACCGTGAGATCATGACTTGAGCCAAAACCAAGAGCTGCATGCCTCACTTGACTGAGCCACCCAGGCACCCCTGTTATCTCCATTTTCTAGATTACGAACTGAGACATTACCTAGTGGGGACATGGCCTACCAAGGCTGGGGTAAGAACCCTGTGTTCTGGGTCCCTACAAAGTAAAGAGCTACATGAGGGTTCCTACTGAACGGCTCCCCTCGAAGAAGACTAAAGTGAGCCCAGACTGGTGGTGCTCTGGGCTTCTGGGAAAGCAGATGTCATGACAAAAGCACCCCCTCATCTGGCCCTGCAGATTGGGCAACCTTCTCACCTTGAAGAGAATGTAAACCCCACAGACACCCATGCTAGAGAGAGAATTCCTCTCCTGTACATTCAGAATGGCACCACCTATATGCCACCCTTGGAAGAACTGAAAATGTAGTCAATGGATTCATTTTATAGAGGGCTTCATTATCTCACAAAACCCCAGGCAAGAAATGGTAGATTTAAGTCAGTCATACATGAACTCTAAATAAAAATACCGCCAAATGAGGGGCCCCTGGGGGGCTCAGCCGGTTAAGCTTCCAACTCTTGATTTCAGCTCAGGTCATGATCTCACTGGTTCGTGAGTTCAAGCCCCATGTCGGGCTCTTTGCTCTCAGACGGCGCAGAGGCTTGGGATTACTGTCTCCCTCCCTTCGCCTTGGCCCCATTTGTGCTCACTCACTCTTCCTGTTCCTCCCCCACTTGTGCTCTCTGGCTCTCTCTCAAAATAAATAAACTTAAAAAAAAAAAGTCACCAAACATACAAGGAAGCAAGATCACCATGAATGAAAGACAGCAGAAACAACAGATTTAAACCCTCCCTAGACTACAGATACAAGAATATTTTTAGAGACTTTATTTATTTACTTTATTTATTTTTGAGAGAGAAAGGGGACACAAGTGAGAAAAGGACACAGAGAGAGGGAGAGAGAATCCCATGAGGGACAGAGAGAGGGAGGGAAAGAGAAGCAGGGCTCACCAGAAGCCGGGGTCAGGCTCACCCAACATGAGGCTTGTGCTCACCCCACGCGGGGCTCACACTCATGCACGATCATGATCTCAGCCAAACTCAGATGCTTAGCTGACTGAGCTGCCCAGGCGGCCCCAGATTCAAGAATTAAAAAAAAAAATTTTTTTAGATGAGAAATATAAAATAGCTAAACATAAATATGTAAAGAAACAAAAAATGAATCTTAAATGAACAAACCATAAAAGTCTATAAAATTAATCCAGCATTTCGTGATTTGTGACAGAGAAATGTAAATGGACTCATCCTTCCACTGAAAACAACTATAAAAGCAAACTAAATACATAATGTAACTGTTTAAAGGCACTGGGAACCAATCAATGTGGACAGAAGCCAAGAAGCTACAATCCTTGGGAGAAGGGAAGAACAGAAGTGACCCCACAGTCTCCACCCCCACCCCCAGCTTTTCCCCTAAGGCCATGTTGCTCTTTGTAGTGCAAGGAAATAGAATCCAAGCAGAAAGCAACAGTCTTACAAAGCAGAAAGAGAAAAAGACTAAAGTTACAAAATAACAAAGTGTCTGGGAATGAGAGTCACTCCATAAGCCCCAATTACCCTTCCTTCACTGCTGCACATATGCAAAATGAGGCTGGTCTACACTAGAAGCAAATGCCCTCAAGGAAGCTCAAAGGAAAGAGGATGAATGAAGGTTTGATCCTGGGGGTCAATGCCAACAGAGATTTAACTTTGCTATTACTTTTTATTAGGATTGTTCTTGCTTCCGTTAGTGTTCTAGTTTCAGAGCTGCACAGATCTTGAATTACTGCCCTTTACCTTATCTTTTCTCTCAGGCCTATTATATTCAGTGCATGGTATTGTCAGGAATGAATATGTCATGTTGTAGCAAGGATGTCTATAGTTAAGGAAGACAGAAAATGATATTAATCAAAAACACAAGAAATAATAAGTGTTGGGGAGGACACAGAGAGAAACCCTTCTGCACTGTTGGTGAGAATGCAAATTGGTACAGCCACCGTGGAAAACAGTATGGAGATGCCTCAAAAAATAAAAACAGATGATCCAGTGACTCTACTACTGAGCATTTACCCAAAGAATATGAAAATTTCAATCAAAAAGATATATGCACCATTATGTTTATTGCAGCATTATTTATAATGGCCAAAAAATGGAAGCAACCTAAGTGTCCAATAATAGATGAATGGATGCGCAAGATGTGGCATATGTATACAATACAACATTACTCAGCATTCAGGGAGCCTGGATGGCTTAGTCAGTTCAGTGTCTAACTCTTGGTTTCAGCTCAGGTTATGATCTCATGGGTTTGTGAAATAGAGCCCTGCCTCAGGCTCTGTGCTGACAGAACAGAGCCTGCCTGGGATTCTCTCCTACCTTTCCTCTGCCCCCAAATACTCCTGCTCTCTCCCTCTCTCTATCAAAATATATACATAAACTTAAAAAGAATTAAATAAAATAAAAAGAATGAAACAGTATGAATGGATCTACACAATATTAGGCTAAGCAAAATAATTCAGTCAGAGAAAGGCAAATACCAAATGATATTACTCATATGTGGAATTTAATAAATAAAACATTCAAGAGGCACCTGGGTGGCTCAGTCAGTCAAGCATCTGACTTTGGCTCCGATCATGATCTCACAATCTGTGGGTTCAAGCCCCATGTTGAGCTCTGTGCTGACACCTTAGAGCCTGGAGCCTGCTTCGGATTCTATGTCTCTCTCTCTCTCTCTCTCTCTCTCTCCTCCCC